TTGGTATGTCAGCCATAACTCCCTTCTATTACACATGCCCTTACGTAATCCATCGGCTAGCGGCTGCAGTTACTTCCCATAAAAAAATGTTCTACTCCTAGCCACAGCCAGCTAATCCAGATTTGGCTTAAGGGTCAAGCCCCATTAGAGAATCCAGACTGTACATGTGAATACTTCAAAATACTTCATTTGACATTATTGTGTCATTTCTACTTCAGATGAAAATGCCAAAACCCATCTCCCAAATATTTGCTGGTTGTTGTTCCTGTTAAATCATTCAAGTATTTGTATCAACATGTACGTTGTGCTTGAGAAGTCCTTTGTTAAATTGTATTTTTTGTGGCAGGAACATGCAGACAGACAGAGTAAGGAGGTCAGCGAACTTTTGGAGGCTTACAACAACATTGTATCCTTTGAAATTTAAGAGATTGAGTTTCCTGTTTCGGTTAGTGTGTAAAGGATGTGTTCTTGTTTGATTTGCATGACTAATTACACTGTACAGTCTTCCATAATTTCAATTCCAAACCTTGCCACACTTGTAAAGCAAATGTTTTTAAGTTCGCACATGAATTGCATATTTTGCTTAATTTACTTGAAAACTAAGGCTTATTGTCAAGCTTTTGTTTACATGTTAGAGTTCTTTTTCAAGAAATTTTTATTGTAACAATTTCAATGGATAGGCACTAGTGACAATTTTATGGTGTGCTTGCAACTCAAAATTAGAGTGTCTTTGCATCTTTTGGTGAGCTACAAGTGCTGTCATTAACCTTTGACCTTAATTCAAATTGGCCTAGGTCACGTTGATATCCCAGCAGTTCGTCCAGTGGGATGCAGTGATGACTCGTTATGAAGTAGCAAAGAAGGTCCGAGATCCTAGCAAATATTATTAAGAGCAACGGTACCCTTGGTCTCATGTCTTTGGCTTCTGTTCTGTAGTAAAAACAGTTTAATTTATTAATATTTGGAGATTATTAGTTGTCGGCATTTTTTCCAGTTGAAAATTATTAAATTGTTTGTGTTGTAAGTGGACCATGTTAACCTTGCCTTATTCCCCCTCAGAAAAAACATTCCTCTCAGCAAAACCCTGTCATCTTCAGACACAAAATTGTTCTCTTAAGATATTGCCTCCCTTTTTGCTATGGAGCCCCAAATGCTGATCATAGTCGTTATTATTGTCATTAAATTTGCTTGATGTTAATTTTCCCTGAATGAGGAACAGTTGTTGGTAATGAAATGCCATGAGGTTCTGTAACAAGTTACAATTATCTCTTGTTCCTTTTAACGGTTTAAATGGTGTTTTTGTGAAGTGCAATAAAGCAGTGTGAGAGTTAGAGTTACTCTTCCAACCTCCAGACATTCAGCCGTGGAACTAACTTTGGATAGCCGTTTACATATTCACTTTTGCAAAGGCATTCTTAAAATAGAGGAAAGCTTAAAAGTCTTATTTTGTAGACAGATATTCTGTAACTCTCTTTTTCTTTGGCTCAAGTGTTCTCTGTCATGGAGGGTTAATAATATCTTTTAGAAACTCAAGGCTTCCTGAAGTGAAACAGACAATATTAAAAGGAAAACAATGAACGGTGAGGAGTTTCTGTTTCAGTTTCTTTCTTCTTGTAGCTCTTCCAATTTTTGGCCCTGTCCTCAGTATCTGATCGTATAATTTAATTCATGTATTTTTGTGTGGTTCACAAGTTGGGCTGATCCAAAGAGCAGGACGAATTGTCGGCCCTGAACATTTGAGATTTGAGGATATAGTGTGACAGAGTTAACCTCTTTTTTTCAAGTTGTTTCCTCGTTTTGCTTCCAAGTAAAAGTGAAGTCTTCTACTTCTTTTTTTCTTGGAAATTTGTCCTGTGTTGCTCAGAGTGACTTCCCCAATGTCCCAGTAACCTGTTTTTGTCGGTATGTTTTGTGTTTTGTTGTATTTTTTATTTTAGGGGAGGGGGTGGTGTCTTCTTGAGTTGTAGAAGGAAAGGAAATTTGACCTGAGTGATGTCCTTTGGTTCCTTTTTCACCTGTCAGAAGGGTATCTGTGGCGTTATTCGGGCACCCCCCAGTTCCAAATAATGCATAAATTTTCCGAGAAGGGAGTAAGTTTTAATCGTAGGCAGTTTACATTATTGGAAATTCAACATTTTTATGAAACATTGCCTAATTTCAGATTCTTTGCAAAGCAAGCTTTGTATGCATAACCTTAAAAACACCTGTTGGCACGCCACGAGATGAAAGGTCGAGTAAATTACTTCCCGTCGATTTCTCGGTAATTTCGAGTTTATAATCCGTGGAGAATTTTATCTGTTGCTTCCTACTGAGTTATGGTTTGCTCGCGCAATGCATGACGTGGCACGGTTAGTCACGAGGTCTGGAATAATAACAAAGCTGGAAAAACTTCCAACGCAACTTTCGTTTCTAAGTAAAATGCACCACTGGCAATGTTGCGTGATCAACTACAGCACACTGCATTGTACAGTAATTTCTGAATATCGACGTCTCGTATACTACATGCACAAAATCAGGTAATGCGGGAACCAATGATGTTGTGAATGGGGCTACGTGCATAATTTCTTCCGGTCCGCGGTCGGCAACCAGGTGACCTTTTACCAGCGCAGGCCTGATCCAAATCCTCGTGTCTGAACGCCACCGAAATCGGTGCGTTTTCTGCCCGCAAATTTCGACATTCCGCGGGTTTCTGTCGCGCAGTGTAGTTCGTCCAGAGGTTTTGGAGTGACTGGTCCAACTCCTGGGGCACCATGAGCGAATCTGCGGCATTGGAAACGACAGAAAATGGCACAGACGGCCTGGCATCGCAACAGCTGGCTACCGGAGATGGTCAGACCACCACACCGTCCGCTGAACCTAATTCACCCTCGGCACCCGGCCTGTCGACCAGCCCAGTTACAATACACATCCCACCTTTGGTAAGCATCATTATCCTATAGGAGAGAATACATCATCGTTACGATACTTTTACGACATAGACACTAGATTATTAAAAGCACATGTATTTAGAAAAAAGGGTGTCGTATGCAGCTGTAAAGACTGTAGTTTTTTGTACATTTGTTGGAGACATTCAGCTTTGAGTTCAATGGTCTGAGAGAACTGTTCTGGGCAAAAATTCCACACTCAGTCATGGCCACTTTTCTAGGAGTATATTGTATTTCTTTATAGACTGATGTATAAAACACTTAGGCCTACCTGCAGATCATTTGAAATTGTAAGAAAGTTAAAGGTGCTGTCTTTGACATTTGAGATAAATTTGGAGTGAGTTTTTGCGCTATATTATATGATTAACTACAGGTTGGAAGCCACCATGATGACCACAGAAATGGCCTAAAGGATAAACTGTTCACTTTCTTTCCTTCTTATGAACCTGTCCCCCAAAGTTACTATCCCTTTCATATCTCTAGCCCCCCCCCCCACAAAAAAAGGAAAACAATTTGTTGTCCCTGGTTTTGAAATAATTGGGGATCAAAAAAAGTTTTTTAAAATGGTGTTTATAAAATTTGAGAAGTACAGTATGGTGGACAGATACAAAAGTGTTGAGAAAAGTAAACTTGCATGTATATGTATGTGGCGCACTTTGACGTTTCTCTCAACTGTTCTCATGCAGTGTAGCCAGACCTTTTTCTTTAAAAAAACTCAAATTTCATTCAATTAAATACAGGTATCATATTCATTATACATGCTGTTAAATCTTTGTAAATAATTATAGTGTCATAAAATTCAGTCCAAAATTCAAAAATGGTGGCGTCTGAATAATGAGGAAGAATTCAGCTGAGTGTTGTTCTCTAACGTGGTACACTTTAACAAATTGAATTGAAGATTTAAACAATTTAATTTAAATTTTGAAACATGTAATGAAGTTTTTCAAAATTGATATTTTCTTGAAAATCAATATTACCACCATTGGGATACCCTATTACAAGTGTATAGGAAAGTTTTCTTATTTTAAAGAGTTCATTATGCACTTTGAAAATAAAATTGGAAAAAAAATGCTAAAATAAAATTCTTTTGAAGTGTGTACGTAAACTCAAGATTTATGAATGGGAATACTGAGTGCTTAGTAAAATTTAGTTTCTGTAAATTGGAGATAAAATTTTTACTCCAGCAAGTCACTTGAGGCCAAAAAATTGAAGTGTAGCACGCTGGGGCCATGCCTTGTTAGGTTACCCAGTGCTCAACAGTTGTGAAAAATCAAATCCTTTCCACATTGGAGATGACTGTATATAACGGAGAGGAGTTTCACTGGCTGTAGGAAGTTACCAGTGAATAAAGTTTGGTCAACTCCTTCAAGAAGTACTAGATCTTAGACCCATAAACAGGGCCCGACAAATACTCCTCCATCGCATACTGGGCCCTATCCCGATTCACAGGCTAGGGATTTCTTTCGCAAAATTTTCTCTGGGATATTCGGCAGCATCCACTTGATTTTATGAGCTGTAATTGCACCGGTATGTTCACTACTTACGGGGTAAACTATCCGCTAGGTTGCTAATTGCAGAAAACGCGCCTTTTCCTCATTTAGAGAAGAAAAGTTGCCTTTTTTGGCCATTTTCCCACTCTGGACAAATTTTGTCCCACTTGCACAAAACTGACAGCTGTTTCGTCACTTTTGTGTCACATCATAGCTAGCAAGCTACACTACCATTGATTTGCCGCAAGCAGTGTTTGACTGGACAGGGAACCAGCCAAGGGCATTGCGTATTAGCTGCGACATAAAATGGCCGTGATTTTTACGAGTACTTAGATCGACAGGTACTCTCGCAGACCTGAACGAGATTTGTAGGTGTTGAAGTCCGAGTACAAACTAGACAGGCTCTTGTACAAGGTACCATTACTTAACCATACAAAGGAGTCTTTGTAATGTACAAGTCTGGCCAAAATTTGTCCAGAGTGGGAAAATGGCAAAAAAAGCAACATTGTTTCCTCCAAACAAGGAAAAGGCGAGTTTTCTGCAATTAGCAACCTAGTAGTTTACCCCGTAAGTAATGATCATACTGGAGCAATTTCAGTTCATAAAATCTAGGAGATGCCCCCAGATATCCCGGAGAAAATTTTTCGAAAGAAATCCCTATGAATTGGGACAAGGCCCAGTAAACGACGGAGGAGTATTCATCAGGCCCTGTTTATGGGTCTAAGATCCAGTATTTCTTGAAGGAAGTTGACCAAACTTTATGCACTAGTAACTTCCTAGAGCCAGTGAAACTCCTCTCCATGTCTTTACGGGTCTAACTGGATCTAAGTTGCCTGAACAGAACTGCTCTTAACCTTTGACGCACGATTATTACATGAAAGAAGCATGTGATGAAATTTGATGGGATTCTTTCCTTTGTGTTATATTTTGCAGGTGCAGATCTCAAGCCCTCCCGAGCCAGAGCCATCAGGTGATGATGCAGGCGGAGACACTAGCAGTGGATCCCTCAGTGATGGTAGAAACACCCCAGGTAAAGAGAGAAGTAATACGATGAATGAAAGCCGATCCGATGGTAGAGGGGGAGAGAATGCTGAATGGACACCCCCTGATGAAGAGCTGAAGAACAGGATCATTAAGCAGGTAGAGTTCTACTTCTCCGATGCCAATATCACTAAGGATGCTTTTCTTTTGAAGCATGTCCGTCGCAACAAGGAAGGCTTTGTCAGCCTCAAGCTCATCACCTCTTTTAAGAAGGTCAAGAGTCTCAGCAAGGACTGGCGGACTGTCCGTTACAGTCTCAAGAGTTCTACCACACTTGAGGTGAACGAAGAAGGGACTAAAGTCAAGCGTAAAGCCCCCTTGCCGGACTACGATGAGACCTCGCCTTCCAGGACAGTCGTCGCCGTGAACTTACCAACAGAAAACCCTTCCATCGAAAGCATCGCCGAGCTTTTCAGCAAATGCGGAGAAATATCGCTGATCAGAATCCTGCGTCCTGGCAAGCCATTCCCACCTGATGTACGTAAGCATATAGAACGCCACAGTGAAGTGCGAAACAAAGTGTGCGCCCTCATTGAGTTTGAGAGTGGTCAGTCAGCTCTAAAGGCAGCAAAGGTCATGAGCGATAAGGACAACTGGCGGACTGGAATGTCAGTGACAGTACTAGCCAAGGAGAAGAAAGAGAAGAAACAGTCTCAAGAGAAGACTAGTAATCGTAAAAGTGCCGAGGGATTGTCACCATCTCAGGCTGGTGACTTAACAGCCTCAGATGGTGGTGAGGGAGGAGACTCGGCCAAGAAAAAGAAACGTCAACGCAAGAAGAAGAATGCCAGAGTGGAGGAATTGTCTGCAGAACGTGTTGAGCAGTCAGGCACCCCGAGCTCCTCAGACACCGAGAATTCTCCCCTACCAAGCCGTAGGCACGCCAGTAAGGCTGGACCCGTGCCACAGAGCAAGAGCCCCGCCCACCTCAGTCCTAGCAACACGCCTAAGAGCAGTCCCAACCCCAGCCCCCATGGCAGCCCTCGCCAGCAGCGGAAAGTGGTCGGGAGGTCTCCCCTGGCCAACTCGAGAAGCAGCCCACGGGCCAGTCCCGAGATGGGACGCAAGGTCTACGACAGCTTCTCAGATCACAGTAACACGTCCAGTCCGTGGGTGCAGCGACGTAAGTTACTGGCAGCGTCTGCCCCTGAAGGTAGCCCAGCGGGGAGCCCTCTGTTGGGCCGCAAGAACCTGATGCATAACAATGAGCATGAGTCCATTTTGAGGTCACCCTTTGGACCGGATGGCACCAGGGGTTTCTCCATTGGTCGGGGGCGTGGAAGGCCAAAATCTGTAGGCATGTAATCATCCTGTTCTTCAGGTATTCAAGCCACTGCTACTGTTAGAATTTCTTTGATCAACCTAAAGCCCTGTCGGATGTTATCCTAGGCACCTTGCTAAACCCAACAGAATACAACAGAAAACTGTGAAGCCTGCAAAATCTAACTGAATCCAACAGCTAGACCAAAAGGCCTTTTGTTCACAGCTTACATCAACAAAATCGAACAGAAAGGAGCCCACTGTTGGATGTTGTTGAATTCTGCATGATTTGGATTAAGAGGAACAAAAGTATGATTGAGTTGTCCTAAACATACATGTGCATGTACATGTACTAGTTTTCAAACCCTCCATCACACTTTTATTTCCTTATCACATCTGGATTGTATATTACATTGTACATGTTTCCAAATTTCCCTGTATCACAGGATTTTTTCAGGAAAAATAAAAAGGTGTTCAATACAATCTTCAGATTTCATCAAGATTTAACTTTGGAATCTGAAGCTTAGGTGTATCAATGAAATTGCTGTAGGTGGTAATGTAGAATGGCTTGTTAAAGAGCAACTCAAAGGACAACATCTTTTCTCTAATTTTATCTATTCAAATAAATGTGTTCGTTTTGGATAAACCCTTGTGCATGCACAAACAAATAAAATCAGAGAAAACATTTTTTTCCTAAGAGTTGCTCTTTAAATTAGTAACATACCGATTGATCTGAGATCTGAGTTGGTACAGATTTCATTAGCACCATACCGATTGATCTGAGATCTGAGTTGGTACAGATTCCAGAGAAGAAACTTTTTTCCACTCGTGTTTGAACAGGGTCCATAGAAGCAGCTTGTATGTCTGAACTGTCAATTTTTTGCTTAGTAAATGCTCAGAGAAATTCCAAGCCAAGTTGGCCTAATGCAGAAGAGGCAATGTGCATCAGCCCATGGGCGAAGTTTTTGTTTATCAAAAAAAATAGGCAATAAAATTAATAATAGTGGAATACATACATTGTATGTACACACATGTCAACATGATGAAGGAAATTTGTCAGTTTCATTCCGATCATGTCAAATTTAGATTTGTGTTAGCTCGGGACTTGAAAACTTCTGCATGAAAAGCATCTGAAGGATTGGGCATTCAGATTCACTGTCTACTATTGCTTCTTCATAAGAAAGAAAAATGACTGTAAAATAATACCTTGAAAAAAGCAAGAAGGTAGGTGGATTGTAATCCTAATTGTCATGGTTTGTATCAATACTTAATGCAGATATTTCAATGCTTCTTTGTACATATGACTCAATGCAACCAGTGCGTAGCTAGTTCCTTGATTCCTTCAGTTTTCTGTTTCCTTTCATTTACCCTCCCCCCCTTTATTTTCTGGGAGCTTTCCAGCCGACCATCAACAGTGTCACTTCAGGTATTGACAAATTAAGGCTATAATGTTAAGAAATTTTCATGAAACGATTGTACACAGGCATTACATGAAAAAGAAATAGGCTGTGCACCAGCCCTGTCCAGATATCAAGACACACAGTACATGTATTTGACTTTCCACCAAACACCTTTCAAATATCTCACACAGTTCCTACACATGTAAGCTGCCCAGCCAGTCAGACTCTCACACAGTAGAAATCATGAAACAATAGCTTTTATCATGTACTACACCTAAGATCCATGAAATTCTCTCAGCCCAGCTTATCCACTGTTTGGATGAGTTGACTCCTGATTAATTCTAATGTTATTGATTTCATTACTGGTCATGTACCTGTATATGCAAAACATGCTGTACAATAATACCGTGTAGTTGGTGTACATAAGATGTAGTATAGAATCTGTATCATAGTTATCTTGTAGATTGTCATTTTGTTTTTCAAATGTAAACATTTTTTGTACGTGCGTTGTTGAGCATTTGTGCAACTTATTTACAAGTTCCAGTGGAACCATGACTGAACAAACTTTTGACACCAAGAAGATTACTGGGATAGTTTTTTGTATTGTTGAGAAAAAAGTATGATACACACGTTCCAACAGCATTGTCAAATGTGTTAATAGTGTACAGGTTTAGTGTAATGTTTCAGCCCAAGTCAGCTGATGGGACGTGTAGCTCATGTCAAGTAGTTGCCAAGAGGTTAAACAAGAGTTTGTGCTTTAAGATGTTGCATTGTTCATTGACTTCTAATCTGAACCTAACCCTGCAACAAAAGCAACACAGTGTGATTCAAAAGCTGTTGCATAATGTCAGCTCTTGCTGTTAGCACGAAGAGCAGGTTGTAAGTGCAAGGATTATTTATGTACATACGTTTCTATCCAGAGCACGAAATTTACTGTCACATGTTGTTGCATTCAGCTACATATGCAGCAAGGTATGAGACGGAGAGAACACCCCCCCTGCTTTGTGTTGGTCATTGTCTCGTAGGAATCTGGGAAATTCCTTTCAGACATCTTGGGAGATGTGTCAAGTAACAATAGTCTGGAATGTGTATAGGGATTGGACATGTTGGGGGGGGGTACCCCTCGGTCTCATTTCTTGCTGGGTATATTCAGCTACATGTACATGTACGTTGCTACTTCAGCTGTGTTGAATTTTGTTGCACTAAGGTGGGGAACCTGTGTGAGGTCAGAAGGCATAATGAACAAGGCATACTGTATGTAGCAAGCTACACACGTGCATGTACGGTAATTCTTCTAGTTTTGTGCTGAATGAAGACGTTGATAGGTTAGGTACTCTTATCTTGGATAACAATCATGTGTGGATAACACTAGAGGGCTGTAGTTTTCCTGTATACATGTAGTCATAAGCCAGTATGGCATCGACTCTGTAGGCTTATTGTATGGACAAAGTCTTGTGTTCCATGAGCCTGCATTAATTGTAGTAATACCCCAGTGAGATACTTGTAGATTCCTATATATTCTATCTATTCCTATATTATTCCCTAAGGTCAGACTAGCTCGCCCAGAATGGATGACCACGGACGTCTTGCGAACATATCAGTGGTGGTCATCCATTCAGCTTTCAGTCGATCCTTTGAATTTCCATTCACTTCTTTCTGGGAAATAGAACATTGATCAAAGTGTGTCAGTGAAACATATTGCCTCGTTTGGTGGAACATAAAAACCATAAACTGTCAGTAATCCTGTGAGCGATATTTCTGTACAAAGGCCAGTTTTCTAGTATTTTTCACAAAACAACTTGTGAGCTAATTTTTTATTTATTACGTGTATCAACTTTTTGTCAAGAATATGAAATCTTTTTTTTTTGGCCACTTTTTATATTACACCTGAATAGTTTTGTTTTTGTTTTGTCCCTTTACATTGAAAAATATCATATGAGAACTTCTATTAGCCAGTAAGTAAAATACAAGAAATGTTAAATTCAAGTCACCGTTTATTGGAAAGAGTATTATTTCCAATATTGTGTGCGTTCAATTAGTTATTTCAATACATGTATATGAAGTGTATAATTTTGACAAAACCTTACTTTATTAATAATGGTGAGTTGTACTTAAAGAGAAATTCAGGATTGGAAGATTGGTGTCCCCTTGTAGTCAATTCCTACCTGCAGGCAGTAAGCACATCTCTGGATATCGTTTGGAGTCGAATCTTTCTAACTTGCTGCAAGTTGTTCACTCATCGACATTTTTTTAATTTATTATAAAGAAAAGCTCATTTGTGATTTGAGTTACTTCAATAAGATGATTTTAAAGAGTGATTCAGATAAGATGGGAAAAGACTGCAGAATTGGAAATGGCAGCAGGTAAACAGGGATATCAAGGAACTCTTTACAATGGCTTGTTTTTTTCCGCATTCTGTTTTGTTCTACCTGAATGATTCATGATGCAGGAGAAATGAACCGTTGTTTTTTCCATCTTCAAATTTGCATTTTTATTTCAATAAATGTTGTCTATAGAAACAATTCACCCACTTCATCAAGATTGAATAACTGTTATGAAGCTTCCCTATTTATGTCGACCGTTTCTGTTAAAGCCAGGGTAAAAGGACTTGAGAAATCCCATTCGTTCAGCAGATGGGATGAGTTTGCTAATGGTGAGGTCAACAAAATATGGAAGCCGCTGTCAAATCATTGAAATGAACACCGTATGGTTTTTTTTTAGTAAGTCTTGGTAGCAACATTATTTGTAAAATTGTATAGCTTCCTACAGTTTGTCAGTGTTTTTCTTACATTCCAAAGAGAACGGTTTTGTGTAGAATTGGAAAAATATGAAAATGTAGCCATTACAGTGAGTTTTCTGTTGACTGATGTGGCAGCTACATTGGACAAGCTGCTAAGCAGAGAGAATTTCTTAGAACAAATCTTGTGCCTTCGTGACACACTTCCCCAACAATGGCCTCTGCTGCCCTTTACACCCCTCAAAGGCTTGTGAGCAAGTATAGTTCGTGTACAAAGTACATAAATCTTGCACCCCATCATTTTGAAAAGTTTGTTTTGGTATGGAGACATAATTTTCCCCGTACTTTTGGAAATGCACAGGTATGACCCCTCATTTAACCACAAATGCAAAGTTCATCATCAGATCCCAAGTTTCTGTGAGTTGATCTTGTAGATGGTTGTCACTTTGTAGTCCCTCCACAGCTTGGTGTGTAGCTGGAAGATCAGAGATTGGACAAGAGCTGTGAATTATGCAATAGGTCACAGTCTAAGAACAGCAGTGAACATGACTACAGAATCAGCTTTGGGTAGAGAGTTTGCTCTGATGTCCCAGGATCAGTCGTAGTGTTGTAGTCACGTACTTTTTGAGTACCAAGGTTCTTAGCAATATATTGGCCTAGTTAAGAGGGAACAAAGCTGAAGCATATAGCATTTGATGGTACATGCACAAAGGTAAGATTACAAAGTAACATGATGACTTCATACTATCACTGTTTGATAAAAATTAAGTTTTGTTGGACAAAAGTACTCAAAAAAGTACTTGGCCAGGTACTGAGTACTGTTCTTAAAACTTAAAGTTTACAAAACCTGGAGTGTCTGAAGCCTTACATTTAGTTTATAATCTTCCTTTGTGCATTTACCATCAAATGCCTTTGTACTCCAGCTGTATTCGCTCTTACCTAGTCCAATATTTTGCTGAGAACCTTGGTACTCGGAAAGTACTCTACTACAACACTGGTCATTCGTTTCTAAGGAGTTGGGTTTGCTTTTGTGGTAGAGTACTAAAGAAAACATGTAACGACCTCGTTAACCAAAAGAACTGAGTATTAAAACAGTCTTGGAAATGATATATGACTAACAATTCATATGTTTTGTTTTTGCTGGAATCTTGAATGAAAGTGATTATAGTTGTATGCACTATGTGTGTTCCCCACTCTTGTACTTGGGATCAAACGAGACTCCTGCCAATGATGGATGTGGAAGAGATTACAAGCGGCCCCCCAAATTTAACAATTTATGATATTATTCTTTATTCTGTCCTCTTTGAAAGTTTGCCTGTGAATACGCTATCAAGGTCGGTTTAGCTCCCTCGTCCCACCTTGATCGTGTAAAATGATGAATGCTGTAACCGTGGAAGTAAGAGTTAAACTTTGTCACATACTGAGGATAATCTAGCCAACTTTTTACTGGACCGGGGTAGAAAAGTCATTTATTTTTGCTGCCACAGCAGGAGGTCTAAACAAATGTCACCCCCAAAACATAAATCTCTGATTTGTCAGAGATACCAAGGACTTATTCTATTTTCTTTGAGGGGATGTCTGATGACTTTTAATGTTGTTTTCTCTACTATTACTGCTTTCATTTATTTCATCTCTTCTTTTCATGCAGGCTTAAGGAATGACATGAAAATTGGCAGCACAAAAGCAAGATGAGGTTTCTGACATTATTCTTAATTTGCTGTCAACACGTTGAAATTTTTCTAACCCTACCCTTGCAATTGATTTCAAGAAGGCCCAGCATCTGAAATTGCCAAACCCACATTTCGCGATAGATGGGCAAACTTAGTTCGACTTTTTGGTCACTGCAGTGGTGCCAGGAAATTCGGATCTGCAGTTGTGTAGATACGATCAGCGCTCATTACTGCCTAGACTCAAAGAACTAAGAATGATTGTGGTAAGTTTGTTTAAATTATTCTCATCTAGTGCCTGCATGGGCATTTACAGTCATGGTTGCTCTCAAATTAGTTTTACTAATGTCAGGTGTCTAGAGAATGATTATGCCAGTGGACCACGACAGAATTTTAGAAATTGCTAGAATTAACTTCCAACCGCCGTTGATTTCAGTGAAAGTGGCCAGATACCCGTCTATGTTTACGTCAGTGCTACTACATCAGCAGGTGTCTCTTTTGACATAAGTGATTGCTGACGACTTTAACATGTTTGCTGAAGAAAATGAAATTTTTCCCCTACCAGAACTTCACCCTTCGAGCCAGGTTTGACTATGTGATAGATGTGCACCGCAATGCATATGCACAGTAGGTCTTGTACTGGCTGAAACGCATGGAAAACTTTGAGTGTTCGAAGTATGGGAAACTTGAAAAACATTCAAGATCGATGTACGTAAACGAAATATTGATGAAAAATTCAGTAAATTTCCCTGATAATCGACATAGGCATCAGAGACTGAGGTTTACGTAGAGTGATGGGCAACGATTCCAGGAAGTTTTTATTCTCCCAGGTATTTCATCAGCAGTTTTAATTCATGTTTTTCAGGTAAATCCTCGCCAAGCGGTGTATCTACTCATCCTACAAATGTCATTTCTTCCGTTTCCCTTGCTCCTTGGTGCAACAGCGGAAGACCTGCAAGAAGGCATTTGGGAGGCCCCGCCCTCCACAGTAACATTCAACCAACCACAGGGCTGTGCGACCTGCTGTCATGTGATCGTGGGCCCCCCAGGGAAGCCAGGGATACCAGGGGTTCCGGGAGTCCCTGGTCGAGGAATTGAAGGTCCCAAAGGAGAGACTGGAGAAACGGGACCAGCGGGGCCGTCCGGGGAGAAAGGAGACCGGGGTGCACGGGGTGCGCCGGGCAAGCAAGGTCCACAAGGTATTGGTCAACTAGGACTGACAGGAGAACCTGGTCCGAAGGGGGGACCTGGCCCGAAAGGGGACCCAGGGTCATATGGTCCTAAAGGGTCTCGCGGATCATCGGGTTTTGATGGATTTCCTGGTATAAAAGGCTCAAGGGGATTTGACGGCTTAAAAGGAGCCAAAGGTCAGAAGGGAAGTGTCGGGCCACCAGGACCAAGAGGAGAAAAGGGGGATCAAAAACCACCTGAAAATCGCTATCGGAATCGGGGAAAGTAAACCGGATCAGTTAACACTTGCTCATTTATTCTTTAAGACTTTTATTCCCTCCTTAATAATTTACTAGCTAGTCATTTTTTATTTTAAATAACTTTGACCCTTGTTATTGTAGTTTAATTACATGAAGATTAAAATCTTATCAGAGAGCATTCAAGGGCAGATCCAGGGGGCCAACGAGGCTACACCCCAAAAGGATTTTTCAGTTGAAGTAAAGATATTAAGTGTCTTTGGAGGTTGTTTTGTACGGACAGTCATTTTGTTTCTGAGCAGCTGCGTAATTGTGACTGGTGTTGTCAGTTAATGCAAAAGTGCACCCGAGACACTAGCTGCTTAAGTATTCTCTCCCTATTTAAGGGTTTGGCTCCTGCCTTAAATGTGTTCCACTTCTGTCCTCTCCTCGGAGCGTTTCTGTTTAAAAGGTGTTAAAAAGTGTGGTAAGATTATTTGGGCTATTTTCTTGCTGACTAGATGCTACCATATCCGCCTGTGTTTGGTTTCATCTGATTTAGTTGTGTAAAATGTTGGAGTTTTATGAGTATACAACTACTGTATGGTATACGAGAATTGTTTGTCACTTTAATGGAAAATAAAATCAAATAAGATTTACTTCCAAGAATATATTTGGTACATTCTTGTTGTGTTTAGCCCGCCCTCCTGCGACTGCAAATTTGATCCATTGATGGATAGGCAGTAACTATGGAGGGGGTTTTCTCGAATGGAAACTGTAACTTTAATTAATTAAATATTTAATTCATCAACTAATTCTGTTGGTTAGATTAGATCTGATTGACATGATTTGATTTGATCAATGGAAATGTGGTAAATGTAAGCCTTATAGTGCAGTGTTAGTTCTGGGCAACTTGATCAGAGCATTAGAAAGTGTTCCGTATCCCAAAACCGCTTGTCTTCGAACACAACTTGAAAAAGTGTAAATCTGACACTATAAAGAAACAACGGGCATAAAGAAATAAATTTCCTTTCAAAATACGAGGTGCACGAGGTATAAGGTGGTAGTAGGATATGCAACTCTTTGCAAAGTACATGTTTTCCAGGGTAATGCATGTACCAGAATTACGGCAGTTAGAGCTGCCCTTGCAAAAAAATGAATCATTTCAGACATTCCAACACATTGACTGCTGCCCATACTTTCACAGTGCGTTTCCATTTGCCGAGCATTGTACGCATGCACATGTTTTATAGGTACTCTCAGGTGTCTATTTGAACATGAGCATTTTACGGATGTACACCGTCCACACTGCCAGCAGCTGAATAGAATTTTTGCATTTTCAAATTGCACAAAATACATGATACACAACATAATTGTAAGCATTTGATGCAGCTTTAAGGCTGTAAAGTTTTTGTGATTTGACAAACTGTAAGTGATCAAATTTCCAGAGTCCAAAATGTTTCATCTTTTCTACATGGAAATAAAACCAAACCAGGAGATGCTTATTTTGACCACCTGAGGAGAAAAGGCCACGGGAAAGCAACCTCTACAAGTTAGGCCTGAGTCAATTCAAATAATTCACTATTCGAATATTCGACCTTCAATTTGATCAAGTATCCAAATATTCAGTTGAACTGGCAAGATTTAAGAGATGAACAAGACTTCTTGCCCTGTTACAAATTTCTATTCCTTTAAATTATTTAATGAATAATTTACTTTTTGAATCATAAAATTTCTGACACTTTTCATTTGAATCAGCTTAAAACAAGCTTCCATAGTGCAATTTTTCTCATTTAAAACAAAAGAATATTTTCCCTACCTTTTCATGAATTTTGGATTCAAATATTCAAATTTGAAAAATAATATTCGAATATTCGATCGAATATTCGGTTATTTGGCACAGCCCTAGTACAAGTTGTACATATCTGCAGGCTATTAAGTATTCATGGAAGTAATAAACTGGCCGCAGAATTTTTGTCTTTCAGACAATTTTGCAACATAAGATTAACTTGCAATCTACAGTTTAGAATGCAGAGGACTTGATTGGTCACTCAGCCTTAAAGTATCCAAATATTTGAACAAAATAACTCGGTAATCTTCTGGTCCACCTCGGAGAATTTCGGCATGTCTGGCATTAGGTACGCAATGAGAGTGGCTCACCTCACCAGTTCGCTCTTTCCAAGCTTTCAGGAATCGCTCCATGGATTCTACCTTACACATGGGATCAGTCATCGAGTAGTAACACAGGATTGGTGTGTGGAAAGGGTTCTTCCAGAATATGTCCACTAATTGATCGTAAACTTCAACGGTGTTAGAGTGGGTCAGATAAAAGTAGATAGCACTGCTACTTGAAATGAGCCATTGAAGGGTCCGATTGTTGGAAAGCATGTGCGCCAATCCAACTCGCATCTCTTTCAATGTTCCAATGATGAGGCTATCAAAGACCTGGCCGCGGATTCTAGGCTGGAGGGCTGAGAACTGCTGGTGTTGATCCGCCATGCGTATCAGAATGTTGGCATACATAAAGGCCCCGATGGAGAAAGCATGCACAACTATGGGCACTTTACCTGTCTGGGTGCACAGGTAATCAATAATCTCAGCAGCCACAGGTTGGGCCGATCGGGGCCGGATGAAATTGATGAGCTTAGAGTATGCAGTCAACACGTTGAACCCCCGGTCTGCATAGAGCGTGCGGAAACGATCCAGGTTCCGCTCAGTTGCTGTTGCCCATGGCAAGAGAAGTGTCAAAGGGGCACTGGCATCATCTGCAAGGAAACAATCAAACGTTATCAAGATACACACTGCCATTGTCATTGTAAGAGTCGGGGGCACACATGACACCTTCCCACTGAAACAAATGGACAAAAAAAGCAAAAAAGTAGGAAGCAAGAAAAACGAAAAAAAAAAAAGGTAGACAGGGGATGAACACCATATTGCTTAATAATACTAAAGAGGATCTGGCCGCCTTTGACCATAAATGATCTATAAGCTTCCTGTGGATGAGCACTCCCCCCCCCAGCGTCCTTCCCGCCCCCAGAGAAAAAAGCCTGGCAACACCCATGCACACTGCACCTTCCAGTTTTCTCCCCGCTCACATTTTAATTCAGTGCACCCATACAAGTCAACAAGTGCAGCAAGTTTCCCATTACGTCTCAAGGCTTCAAATCATTCCCTAAGCAGGACAATTTTTCATAATGTTTGCCATTACAGACTTTCCTTACAGGTCACCAGGAATCCAAGACAGTGTTAGGCAAATTATACTAATCATTATGCTTCCTGCAAAGGTGGCTCCATATCAGGAATAAATACTAGTGTGGACATCAGACATAGCAGCGTGAGAATTGGGGACATTGACTCATTCTTTAAAAATTAGTTTGGAAGAGAAGTGTTACACGTAAATCAAAAGTTGAGGTCAACATTTTCTAACCATTTCTGAAGGCTAAATCAAACATTCAATGATGAAAATGAACCAGGATTTAAAAGAACAAAAAAAACACCTACTGTTGAATTTGTGTAGGCGCAACACTGGAGATATGTTGACTATCTCTGCTTTATCCATGGTTGAAGTAGACATTGACAGGCTGGGAATGCTCATCAGCTTCAATAAGAAGAAAGTCTTTGTCAGTTCAAAGACAGAGTGTTATAGCAACAAATTGGGAAACAAAAATGAAAACACTTTTTTTCATGCAACAAGGCACTTTGAAAAAGCACAACACATATGAAAGCCTAAATTTCACTCCAGAACAATTTTTTGTGCAGCTTCTTAAAATTCTGTATACAAGTACTGTACATGTAATGTATCATACTTTTGACATTTAGGAAAGGGTTTCCTTTTATTTACCATGAAAATAAATTTCACACACAACTGGTACCCAATGTTATCACTGGCAAACCACAATTTTGTCTTTACATTTTACATAAAATGTTTGTACAAATACAGGTGACTCTGGAAGTAGGCCAAAGTGAAGATGACCCCTGCTCTTGAGTGCCATATTTTCACACCATATCGACAACTGACTGTGTTCGGTTTCTGGAGACACTCCTGATTTTATACGTTCTAGGAGGACCATTTCACACAGCAAGAGGTGAGTTTTGTTGGATTTAGTAAGTCACGGTATACATCACGAACAAGGTAAAAACGGGCAGGCAGATAAGAATTTTGGGGGCTTTTCCTACCTCCATGGGCCTACTAATTAAGCTAAGTGAAAAACAGTCCTAACCATGCTAACAAAGTAACACTAAATATATAGTCAAGATAGTATCTTCCACCATCATGTTCAACCTAGTATAGTAATCATCATTTCTCACCCGCGGCGCCTCTAAAACTAATTACATGTAGGCCCTAAATGTCATTAAATTTCCCATCAGTAATTTACCTGCTTTGTGTAAAACTTTCGGACGAAGGGTCGAAATGCAGCTGTTATCATTACCATTCCAAACAATATGAATTCATGTACATTATCTTGCACCACAAACAGGAAGCCGTTTCCAAACTTGCTCTACAACATGCACATTAATGAGCGATCCTAGTGACCCCGGGCGTAAGCCATGCCCCCTGTGAGCACGGCCCCTCGCACTGCGGCTATGTCTACTCTGAGTGGCAAAGAGTGCACAACATAGCTAGCCAAAAGGGAGATCAATGTGGCCAACATTGACAACATTACTACGAGCTGGGTGGGCCGTACCGCGCTTCAGCATCCCGGCCACTCGACGCGCGGCAGTGGCTAGCGCCCCCTACAGCTGTAATTTTTCCCTGGGATAAATGTATTAGACTGAGTAAAATTATTCTGAAAGATTTATGAACAAGTTGCACTCTCAAAGACTCAGATATATAGTTTCCTAAACAGTCTATACCTATGAATTAGCCTTTAAGCAAATTAACTTTATTGAAGTGTGTGAATGCTTTAAAGGAGCTAAAACTATTAATTTTCTATGATGAAGTAAACGACAGGTGGGCACTGATTTCCGAAATCGCAGTGAGTCACTTTTGGCGAAACTAATAAAATAACGTCAAAAGTGCCATATGGGGGTTTGTTGGTCCTGGATGTTTAACGAGTTGATGAAGCAGTAGCAAAGTTACAAGACATGGATGCTTTAACTGTTTATTTGTGTTTGACTATTTCTTAATTAATTTATAAGAATTAATTAATCCGGAACCTTTCCTTTTCAAACATACGTCAATTAAACGGACAACTCGAATGAAAACGGACATGGTACCGGTACATTTTCGTTGTCTTGGCTGGAAAGAGTTTTATTCATTATTTTATTTAAACAGCGCCTTTAAACATATTTGTTAATGTACAGAGCGATGAAATCCAGTGAGGTGATCATTCTTCTGTTAGATCACTTCCATAATTATTTCTGTGGGGTGCCGTCATAGTCTGACACGAACTCCTGGCGGAAGAAATTGTTGTACATCTTCTCCCACGGCAAATTCTGTGGGTGGTGCGCTCACCTTTGTTAAGACTTCAATGTAGACTTCACTTCAATGTAGACTTCACTTCAATGTAGACTCCCCGTTAACCCATCCTCTCATCACGCGGAACTACTATATCGTCTGTTTAGCCACAAAAGCTAAGCCAGAGCGTTATTTATTTTGCCAGTATTTCTAAAGCACGAATTTTGACAAAGATAGTATCGTTGACATAAATAAAGAACTTTGAGTTCTATTTAATAACGGTTTTGCCCTTTTAGATTTCGTACTGATCGAGTGACCGTCAGTGTTCAATGACCTTCCTGTTCAAATATTAACTTGATGACACAAACATCACGGAAGATCCAACTGGCAAGCGGCCGTAGGTATTAGTGCGGGTAAAGAGCAGTCGTCTATTGAGATCGAATTCAGATCAGTCAGAAAAGGCTATAAGCACGCAGAAACACGTCCATGCCACATGCAGATACTTTTTGTGCCTCCGAAGCGAAAATAAAAAGACAGTTTCAGCACGTCAGAGATCAGTGTAAATCCTAAGCGGATTTATCTGGATGAACCAAGAGAGCATTGAATGTCGCAGAGGGCGACTTGGGATGACTCCTGATCCCTACGTTGTGTCCATCGTCTAGACGTATCCAGATCCGCTCGCCCACTTTCAGATCCATCATGGTGCTCTGAGACGATGTGCCGGCGTTGCCGTCGTTCTTATCGGCGAAGATACTGACGACAGGCTCGTTGCCGCGCATCAGGTGCAGCGCGGCCGCGTGCTCGAACTCTGGCCGCACCGAAAAGCTGAACAGGTAGACGCCGGCCTTTGGGCAAACAAACTCAAAGGCGTCAGGATTCCAGGCGCCAGAAGGGTATTGGGTAAGGACACGGTCGAATGGGACATGTTGAGGGTCGTCTGTTCCTGTCAGGACTCCGGTGAAAACAGCGGAGACGTAGACCGGTTCTGTCAGAAAAGAAAATCAGAATTCTATTGGGATTTCAAGCTATTCATGGTGACAGACAACTAAGGTGGAAAGCTTGCGGTAGCACCATGCAAGGATACAATCTGTTTTGTGAGTCTGTTTGGTTCTGAAAAGAACCGTGAGGAACTCAACGTTTCGAACAGTGCTCTCTCCGTCGTAAGGAGACTGAAGAGATGCCCACAGAGAGTGGGGCTTATAAGCTGACTGGGAGCACTGGAGTGTGACCGATCCGTCTGTGTAGTCAGGTGGAACGAGGATGCACTCCAACGCAACGGATACCAGCCCAAGCAGATCAAGACCCAAGATCAAGTCCCCCTCCCGGCCGTAGGATCCCCTATACCCAAAGCCAACTAGATCAGACCCCTAGTTCTGTCACTCTCCCCTACCTAGGACGTACCTCCCACCACGTCCAGCGTATCCTGAGAAAGCACAACATCAAGGTGTTCCACACAGCTCCCGTCAAGATCCACAGGATGCTGACTTCCCATAAGGACAGGCAAGATCCACACCGCCGACCAGGTGTGTACAAGATCCCCTGCCAGTGTGGCAAAGTGTACATCGGAGAGACTGGTAGGGACCTCCCTACCAGGATCAAAGAACACAAGCCCATGGCAGGAAGGGGGACTATGAGAAGTCAGCCATCATCAAGCATTCCCACACCAAAGACCACACCATCAACTGGGAAGAAGCCCACCTCATCGCTAGCATCGAACAGTGGTACCCAAGACGCATTAGAGAAGCCCTGGAAATCTCCAAACACCCAACCGTGCCTCAAGACATCGGCTTCTCCATCAGCGACATCTGGCAGCCCCTGCTTACTTCCTGGTCTGATGGTTCCTCTATACCCTAGCCCCCCCCCACCCGCCCATGGGTCTCCTATACCCAGGCAACCTTCCCCCGCCACAGCCCATGACCAACTGACATGCATCAGTACCCAGGTGGATCCATCAGCTGCATCCTCGTTCCACCTGACTACACAGAACGCAGTGCTCCCAGTCAGCTCATAAGCTCCACTCTCTGTCGGCATCCCTTCAGTCTCCTGACGATGGACACAGCATACTGTCCGAAACGTTGAGTTCCTCACGGTTCTTTTCAGAACATACAGACTCACAAAAAAAGAGATCGACCTCAGAATTCTATTGCGGAGAATACCAAAAGCAATGTACATCGATGAGGATAAAATTCGCCCGTGGATGAGTTTATCTTTCATTCCGTGCACACAGTGAAATGAACACACACTACAACATCACACTGACCACTAATCACCCAGAATGTTGCTAGTCATGTCCCTTTTGTCCTTTCTCAAATTGAACACGTATGTATACCTAATTGCCGTCATTCGGTGACCCTCTGATTGAAAATTGTCTTCCGACTCCCCCCTCCCCCCCCAAAAAACCCAACCTACGAACGAAAAGAAATTGAATGAAAGCTGGTTCCAAGCTTAGAGCTCCCAACATTTAATCTTGTCTATTTTTTTCTGTTTTTTTTCCTGAAGGGAGCTGTGCAAAATCCCTGAATGGGGTGGTAGGTGCCCTCCCCTGGTTAGTTCGTTAGTACCGCCTCTCAGGCTGACCCATCCAAATTACTTTTATTAGATTCAATGAAGCTGCTCTATGGTTGATCGTTGTGCAGAAATTAGGAATAAACACAACTCAGTGCTGCCATGTGTTTGCAGAATCAAGATACAGTCTCGCACACCAATCATGTGTCATGTTTTCATGAGCAAGCGGATCTAATATCTGTTATCCGATAATGATTTCGAGGCCAGGTTGCCATAGTTACACGACGGCTAATAATGCAAATTATATTAGGCGCCTTTCGCAACCGGGGGATATCAGTGACATTAGCTGTTATTAAGGGCAAGTTGTTCCACCTCTTCTCATGATTACGCAGCGTAGTGATATGGCATAGTAAGCGTAACCGTTCTCCGTTATGATTCAGAATACGTTGTACTCTTCGTGTACTTGTTTTATCCTTATGTATTTTTTAGTCTCAGACAGAATTCAGCAGCATGTAAATTACACCGTATGCAGCAGAAATATGCATAAACGGGTTTTGGACATGCAGCATATTTTGAAAATAATTTTAATGTTTCTCGGTTCTGAATTTGCCCCCCCCCCACCATGACAGGAGAGACGTGCCATCAGGATACGATCATTCTTTCCATAAAGTGACCTTTACTACAGTAACAGTTTTTTTTATGATTTCAAAAGAGGCTATTTGTTGTGCGTTTTTTCAGCAGAGCATCGATTTGATGAAGTACAAATGTTGGAAAGTCAGTTCACTGAGAAATGGATTTTGAAGTGTGGCTGTGCTCATCCCAGCTCAGAAAAAAGGCTACCCTGCCCGAAACTGACGACACCCAGTGCCCCCTCCGTCCAGGAAATGAGCCCACTGTAAGTTGAAATCTACTCCACTGAGCCTTTCTAATCCCCATACACCTGTCGCAAATTCGTAATCGATGCCCCCCCCCTTACGTGCAGTTTGGGCAGCTACCGCACGTAATAATCCTCAGCTTATGTCTGCATACAATTCCCAAAGTGCAGCACGTTTGCCAATTCGCGGCGGAATACCTCCATGTTTGTATGGTTGCCATCGCTAAATACAACCCGGTAGGCTTATCTCAGTGCAAAGCGCACCATATGGGGACACCGTGCACCGACATGCAATACTCTCCGACAAGCGTGACATACGTCAAAAATGAGGAAATCAAATCCTCGCTACATACCTGGTTGTTTATATTCACAACTACCCACGTTTCCCATATCGCCAAATTGAAGATCCAAGCCGAGACTGCTAACAATGTTCTTGTGCCACAACCCTTTGTCAAATGGATAATTTTATGACAAGCACGGCCACATTAACATCATTACTATAGCTCTGAAGGACCTATGCTGATTATAGGTAGCTGTCAGAGTATTATGTACAGCCCAACCAAGAAAATAATTGAAATGGCCTGCGTTCACTCCACAGCCGGCCTTCGCGTACCCAATAGCTGGTGCATTTCGGGCCGGGTTTCAACAATCACTCAATATTCAATGTCACAGCCCCGTGGTCAAATATAATAGCGCACGGCTCCTGTATGGATATACATGTGTGTGGGGCCAAAGATCACCCCTCCACACGGGGCGTTTCCACTGACACAAAAAGGGGATACATGTACATGTATAGCACAGTCTGGAGTGATAAAAATAACCGAATTGTGAAGAGCATTCAATTTGTAAATGGTCAGTACTGTAATGACTGTTTAAGACAAAAATTATACACAGAATATTCCATCACTGCAATTAACAAGGTGGCACTCTTTATTCGCCAACAAAAAAAAACAATTCCAAATTTTGTTAACACTTTTCTATTGAGCGCACTATACAAGTTTGTAGCCAAGTCCCATTTTACATTGTTTAAACTTTTTCACGGTCCTTTTGAAGAATTTTGATGATTATGATTTTTAATCAATTTTTTTTAGGTATCAAAATGGCATACTGGTTACTCTCAAAGCTGTTTAAATTCTCGTGAGTTCAACATAAAAAACGGCACCAAACTAATTATAAATAGAGAGATCAACAACTTGTCTCGTTCAGCCAGTAAACATGAACCTTTTCCCTCTAAGTAGAAAACCAAAACCTGATAATTGGCTGGTTTTCAGCTCCTCTTAAACCTATTGGAGAATGTTGCGCCCAAGTATTCCTGCTGCAGCAGTCTGGGCATGGAGCTGCTGTGGAATTCAATGTTGGGAGGACAATCTTCAGACTTCATCCTGTCCAATCCTTCAAAGCAGTACCAACACAATACACTACCAAGAGTTAGGCCTGTATGACAAGAATGTGTCTGCAAGTACATGTATTTCTGATGCAAATTGTTCAAGCAGATTTTTTAACCCAAGTATTATACAGTCCTGATCCATAAACACAATTACATGTAGTGTCTGTTCAACTCCACAGGTTTGCTTTACTCCATGTTCTCTTCATTGACGGTCATCCCATCATCTTGCTCTTCCTCCTCCCCATCAGTTTCTCCTTCCTCCATCTCTGAAGCCTGGTCTCCCCTTCCTGCAAGCTTCACTTCTCTCAAGGGCTGTCTTGCACTGTTTTTCCCTTCCTCGGCCATTTCTGTTGCCTGGTCATCTTCTGTCATTGTAGCGCCCTCGATCTTTTCAGCATTATCTTTGCACTTCACAGTTTTCTTGCGCCGCCGCTTCTTTCTCTGCCTCTTATGCTTCTCTTCACTATCTTTCTTCCTTTCCTCTGCAAAGATTTCATGGATCTGATCCACAATTGACACACATACAACAGAAATCAGTTATAATTGAAGTTGGAAATTATTTGTCATCAAATTAATAGTGGAGGCCAAAGGTTGGGGTCAAAGGTTATCTGAAGTTCAAGTTCTGCTCCATCAGTTTCTTACTTGGACCTCCAGAAATCTGGATGTCACTGATAGACAAATAATGTGTGAAATGGCTTCCTTATTTTTCCGACCTGTTGTTGTGTGACCTGGGGATCAGTCTTCATTAGTTGAAGGAACACTCCACCAGGGGATCGACGCCGAGAGCCGTTCTGTAAATCATAAAAATAAAAAGAGGTAAATTTTATTGCTTTGATCAGAGTACTGCTTTCAACTTGGAGCTTTGAAAGGGACTGTGATGAGCAGTACTGTGCATTTTAACGAAGGTAATTTTTATTGGTCTGTTGACAAACCTCCAAAAATCCTTCTTCCAGAAACATCAAACCAAGAAAATTTAATCACACTGTAATCAAATTCATTCAGACTGAATTTATCAACATGACCATGCGCATGTCATTATACATGAAGACGTCGGATTGCAAACTGTGACTGCTATCACTGTCACTCCTACCACTGTCATCATGCCTCCATTTTTCTCGGTATCTGCCGTCAGCTTCCACAGCTCAAGAGATTTCTCCACACCAAGGGTGTTCACAACTCTCACAATCAGCTCTCTCTTAGCCTCTTGGAGACTGTAGGCCAATTTCCCAGTTATTTCTTTCTTGCTCAACAAGGGGTTGATGGGGATGAACTTCATGGGGGTGAGGTCTGATGATTCCGACTGGCTCCCAAGCCTTGCTTTGACTGTCTGTCTGAGGCCAGCATCTCTTTCCCCAAGTCTCTCATGCACGGGTCTCCGTGTATGACTATCCACTTGCTTTACATGTCGGCCAACCAGCCAATTGTCTTCATCTGTCTCTCCAAAGCCTCGTTTGAGATTCCTTCCCTGACCCGACTCAGGTTTGGAGACAGAGGGTGCTCCCAGATAAACCCGTGATATGTTCTCCTCTTGACTGAGTTTGTAATTGTAGCTCTCCACATCCCGACTTCGAGATAAGTCCATCTCAAATTCATCCATCTCTCGCGCTACCAATGCTTCGTTCTGTTCCTGCACCACTTGGCCCCAGACATTATTCCTTCGGGGTCTTTTGACACCTGTCTGTGTTCCACTGCCATTACCAAGGGTAACATCTGGACTCTCACCAGGACGATTTGCAAGGGGTGCATCATGCTTTTCACGTAAACCAGTCGGTAGTTGGCTGTCACTATGAATACCATGTAATTGGCTGGTTGTTTTTCGACGTTTCCAAGGCTGGTCCTCCTCACTATCATCTGAATCGCTACTGCTGTCATCCGAACTGTTTTCTGTCACTGGGTGCACATCCCTATAGCTCGCCATGTCAATGTCTATTTCCCACGATTGTTGATAAGTCTGGTCAGCCTGTCAAAAAAATGATGAAAAGAAATAAATTTACTCTTCAGGTGTTGGACTAGTCTGAGTAACTAGAACCCTACGAATCGCTTTGTTAAACCTTTTGGACATGATCTATAGCCCAATCACTGATCAATAAAACCACGGAGGAATAAGAAAGTGATAAAAGCTAAAGTAACACTGCATCATGAGACTTTTTTCTCACGTCTCACGCCTGGACATGGGCAGATCACTCAAAATTTGCAGAAACGAAAACGAATGTAGCTTACATTCACACCATTCAGTCGCTATATAAATCTTACTGAGACTTTACGGAAGTAAGATAATACATGTAAGTCACCGCAGTGATAAATGTCAAGAAAAGATGCAGAAATAGGCCCCTACCTTGTCTGAAGTTACTTTAAGTAACGCAACAAATGTGTGTGTTTTAGTCCCCAGACGTATTGGGCGTGCAGAATACGGGAAAAAACGCAGATCATAAGTGACCCGCCTAATTGGACAGATTAAAGCGCCCTCACATTATTTTCTTGCTCCAACGTAAAAACTAGTAGACTGTTTCCGTCCATAAAAATAATTGTATTGTTACTTTTGATGGTTCCTGACCTAAAATGAAATCCTTCTTAACAGGTTGTTATTATTTGACAAAAACCTGTGAATTCGCATAAAAAGATTTGAAAAAAATGTGTTGTTAAACGATTCAACGGTTTAATTTGCTATTTTTTGCTAAACTGGTTTATATTGCGGCGATAAGATGGTGCGTTTTGTACACAGCCCACCACCCCCTCAAAAAAAGAATTAAGAAAAATACACATTTTAAGCCGGTGATGGTGTTCTTTGGAGGGCGTAATTAACAAGTTTCGTTTCCGCCTCTTAACCAGCACAGTATTCATGTTAATGTATACAGGCACAAAATACCCGCGTGATACATGTAGAAACTTAAGAATTTCACGTTTTTCGACTCAAAACTATTTTGATTCCAAATTATTCAAAAAAGTGGGGAAAGGTGACTACATTCTAGGTACAATGTTTGCATGTATGGTCGAAGCCCCCCCTCCATCCTGACATCACTCATCGTGCAGGTCCTTCTAAAGAAGGATTTGAATTTGTGCATAGCTGTAATGCAGTGGAGTTTGTTTGGTTTTTTAAGACTATGATTTAAAAGGAAGACTTTCATTAGTGAAGTGCATTTTGTTATCTGGCATGAAGCTCAGGGAAAAGTATAACTCGGCGACTGAAGTAGCTTCAGCCGGTACAGCAGCTTTGCCAAAACCATTTGCATCGTGAGATTCCGCGGAAAAAAACATCCCCCGAAAAATGCACGCGCAAGCAGACTTTGTATTCTGATCAAACCATGCAATCAGGGTCAAAGATATTTATTGACACAAATTAAGCACACAAAGATTAACTGTATTCCTGACGGCATAGGCACATGACTCAAATGGAGAACCATCATGGCGGCCTATGAGTCCACAATGAGCCACAGAGCGGGTATTACATTGGTTGCAGTTTTCCTGCAGTTGTTAATCTTGGGGAGTTTTCCTAGGTGTGGCACGTGCCAGGGAGCCTCCTCGATCGATGATATAGGCCACACTCTGGCAAAGCTCACCGTGACACCTGGAACAGTAGCACCACGCAGCATGACACCTCACACTGTCCTACCACCCGAAAAGTCACCCGGCACTGTCGTACCGCCTGTGAAGACGGATGCAACAGCACCTACAGTCAACCCAACGGCCGGATTGTTGTGTGGCGACTACGAAACCGCCGATTATGACTTGAGACAATTAACCGGGTAAAGTAGTGCCAAACATAAAACAGCTTTTACACTGATTCATATTCCCAGGTCCTTCCAAAAAGGTTTCAATTCGGGAAATTAAACTTATCAAAATAAACAGAGGGAAACGGTTGCTTAAATTATATCAGGAAACGCTGAAAAAAAGTCGAACCAGGCAGAGGCAGCACGAATATTTAAAGGATACCGGATAAAGGGGACCTATCTACAACACAACTGGACGATTTTCACTTACGGCGTTATCAGGAAGTGTGTGCATATAGGCGTAGATAATGACGATGGACGCCGGTCAAGATGCTGGATTTTGATAAAAGTGCCACATTCGGCAAAAATGGAAGGGTTTGTTTGAATGGTTTGGTTTAATACCAGCCATGTAGTTTCCTTTTGACTTGAAAGTAAGTGGGTATTTTACATTGTTTTCAGAGAACAATACTGGAATCTAAATGTTCCCGGAGGGTGTTTCGATTATTACGATCAGCCCAACGTTATGTGTCAATTCCACTTTGCATTCTGCAAGCAAATTCCTCCGGGTATCGTAGGAGCAAAGACAGGCATTGGCGCAGCGCAAGTCACAAACATCGCTGGGAGTGGGCCCATCATCTTGGGTGGGTTGAGCCAAATCGAGCAGAACGAGGATGGTAAGAATGATTATACCTAGAAAATCAACTAGCATGGCTTCGTAAACATTTAAAATCGCCACAGAAAGAACATGTTACAATTTCGAAAGCCAACACAGAATCGAGATCAATCGTCATCAAATTAATACCTGGCTCACGATGTTCACTTCAGTTTGGCTGTCATTTTCGAGATCTAGTTTGTCAAAGTTGAAAATTACATTTAGCTCAAGTTGTCCATAGGACAAATATTGATATTTTTTCACACAGTAACATCTCTTCACTGATATAATCTAAAAGTCTGTTGCTTTTTATCTGAACTCGAAGAGAAGTAAGCTTTTGTTTTATAGCGAAGCTAATCTGTTTTACTTTTAAGGGGTGACTTTTACATTGTTGCACAAGTTTTGTTTCTAAGTTATTGTTTATTTTGTTTCCTTTTTCCGTCAAATTGATAGACAAGGGAACTCAACTTCTGATACGATTCCGTCATGGCGAAAATAAGAAATGTGGCGGTGAAGATAAAAATCTGCAAGTTGAAATGCATCTCCATTGTGACCCAAACACTCACTGGCTGTCAGCTCACAATGGGTCAGCGCCAAACATGCCGTCCACCACCATAGTGTCTTTAGATAAGCAGCTTTGCAAGGTGAATCCATGAGTTTTCAAGGCAACAACTCGGTTTGCTTCTCAGCCCTAATTGACAATTATATATTTGTAATAATGACTACAAAGTGACCCGAACTTGCTTTAAATTAATAGACGTGATATAATGCACTGTGTTCTACACGTCTCTTACTGTCGTTGCCAAATCAGAAGGCAGCGCGCTGCCTTTAAAGTTAAAGTCAACGGAGTAATTAAAAATTAGTACGTAATAGGAAACATTAATAATGCTATTTCACACTCCACAGTATACAGTAACAACCATGTATGACGGTGCGTGTTTCACCTACCAAGGTCTAAGTGCTGGTACCATCGTCATCATTATGTAAGTTTGAAAAAAATCACTAAAAATTAAGCTGTTCGTTTTATCTCATGAGATAATATACATTAACACCATTCTGATTGACATTTCCTCGTCTGCTTTTGCTCTGCCAGCTTTTTCAGCTTAGTGTGCGTGTACCTGATCGGAGGTGCCATCTTTAACAAGATGGGCGGAGCTAAAGGCCTGGAAATTATTCCCAACTACGACATGTGGAGAATGTTCCCTTCTGATGTCATGGTAAGAGATTTTATGGGTCTTGAGTCTAATACCATGAACACCACTAGCGAATTTATCAATATTGTCATGACGTAAAGTGTTTTACCATCGGTTTATATTCCTGTATTACCGATCTCAAAAAGGAGATTCGATTTATGAATAACGGATATGTTATCGCCTTCCTCCCTATAGGGTGGTGTTGTTTTTGTGTGGGGCATCATCACCTGTCGCGGGATGGGGTCGAAAGCTAAGGCATATGACGATTTGTGAAGACGTGCATGGTGTACTACCTTGGATGTGAAATCGAGACTCTTATTCTCTTCGTCGTTGTAATGAAACATTTTGAGTATTCTTGTCGAGTCCGGTATTACTAAATCAAAATTGCAAGTCTTACCATCTCGGTTCAGAAAACAAACTTTTCTGAAACAATCAGTATTTGAAGTTGGGATGCTGGGGGGGGGTCAACCCTGGCTGCTAATATGCGTGTATGTAAAATGGTACCAGTTAAAAAAAGAGGACTCATTCACACACTCTCCCCCGGTATCACGCCCTCTTTCCTGAAATCTGGGCCCGCCCCTAGCTGTTATACTGATGTCCAGGCTACTGAGTGCAGTGATGGACGAGTCTTTAAACTTTTTTTGTAAACAAGATTGAAGGTATCTAATCACGAAAAAGATGTACATGGAAAGAGAAAACTGTGAAATGAGGGAAGTTATGAGTACCAAAATCTGATTAAGATTTATTTTATACGTTCCTTATTCAATTTTTTTGGGTCAATGGATTTGCTTCGGAGCAACCTTGACCATGGACCATGTATGCCACCTAAATAGGGATGGCTATGGTGACCCTCGAGGGACATGACACATTGCAAAATAATCTCTTTACAAATATTTGCGACATTATTTTCGATGTTACAAATATTTGCAAAGATATTTGGGATTGCTGTTCTGGGCTACCATGCCACACAAGGCTCCTGGCGTTTTAGGAAGTAAAGAACGCGTTATAAACTTGGGGAAAAAATGAGTCAAAAGGAGTACGTACCTTTGTGTAACCATAAATTTGGTAAAAGCATGTGATGAATTGTGCTTACCTTTTAGTTAAATACTAATTATACAGTTAAAATGTTTCATTATATGTATTCAGTTTTGATAATATTTGAGCAGTTTGGCGATGCAATCATATACCAATGTCTTCTTTTGTATCGTGCCTTTTACCCAAGAAATTCGCCCCCCCCATAAGGAGGTCAATTTAATACGAAAATAATAAGTGATTATCTATGAATTTGCTGCAGTACTGAGCTTTACACTTTATAGTCTTGCTTTTTATCAACAGCACTATCGAAAGGAGCCGACTTTATGCATGTATATAAAAACCTTGATTAAAACTTAAACTCTTTTTGTGCAACTTTTTACAAAATAAACGATATGATTTGTCAATTTAGAACGCTATACGTGTACTTTCAAGGAGGAAGACAATCATTTTGATGTATTGATTTTGTATTTCTATGATTTTTAACGTGACAAGATAATAAAATTAAAAAACAAACAGACTTAGTTAAGTCCTTAAGTAGGTGGTGGTTTGAAATTAATAGGTTCAAGTGGAGAATACCGAAAAAAAAATGTCATTAAAGTCGCTGGGCGGTCCTTAAATTTTGAGAGGGCTTTTTAAGATAAATAAACGAAAGAAACAGTGGCCACACAAGAGGTAGAGCCCCACTTAAGGTTTAAAACGGAACAAACTATTATTTGAGGAGCCACTTTGCTTGTATTTTAAAGGGATGTTAAAAGTAACCGGTGGTCTAAAAAAACTTGAAAAGTTGAGAAGTAGGAAGTGATCTAAAAGAAGCTTGTTGTCATTTAGTTGAGTTGGTTAGAAACTAGCCATGCTCTTTTTTTATTTTTGTTCTTTTTTCCCTGGAGCGACTAGTCTTTCTAAAATAATAGTCCGTCTCTTCCATTCAAGCCTAGGACTGCCCTTGACGTACTCTAAGGCACAGTGACTTTCTGCGTATGAATTTATCTCTACCGACTTTCAGGAGTACTAGTCGTCCATTTTGAAATAATGCCGGGACTCCACCGTATCCCCAGCATGCAATCCCCATCGTCACACCCCGAATTTAAGTGCTCATCCGCATTGTGCTCATAATTAAGAATTCTCTTTATCTCTCTCTCCTTCTCATGGATGTACACCGATATCCAACTTTTAGGTAAATCCCTTTTTTCATAATTAGTTTTTATAATACAAGATCATGACTACATGCCGGTGATGGACCCAGAAATCCGAGCAAAATAGTGGTGGGGGCAACATCATTTGCCACACCCAATTATTTAATGACGACGAAAATGGTCAGGTGATTTTGTTACGCCCCAAATATAGCATAAGTTCCAACTATAGTTGGGACAGTCCCAACTGTAATACTGGCCCAACTATTGTTGACCAATGTCCGTGGGAAATGTCTCAACATTATCCAAGTCATTGTGTTTCACACTTTCATCTAAAATGTGGCACTTTATCTGTTCATCTAGCCCTATGACCAATTACATGACATTTTTAAACAATTTGACTTTGGCACATGCTGGATACATCATGCACACAAGGACCTCTCTAGCTCTGCTGTAGTTGGGCCGGCCTAGCGCCTAACTGTAGCACTCTAGTGGGAACGGGCCCAACTATAGTTGGGACAGACGCTATAGTTGGGGCGTAACAATTTCAAGATGGCGCCGCACATAGTCACAGGATCTGTATCTACCGAGCGTGCCGAGGGCTTTCTTTCCGCCTTCAGAAATGTTAGATTTGCCGCCTTTATCGCTCTGGCTGGCCTGGCTCTGAATTTCAAGAAGGTGCTAGGACAAGAGGTTACTGCATCACCCATTTGTGGCTCAGACATTTACGATTTGGAAACATTAAAAGCGTAAGTAGACCCAACATGCCCAAACCAGCTAACGTTAGTGTGTGTGCAATTTGCAATGCAATTTCAAATAGCTTTAAACCACTATGCTTTAACCAACATGACTGCTTTTACTGTACTGTGCCGTGTGATATCATGGAGTGGTCAGATGGGGATATGGACAGCATCAGTATTTCCCAGCAGTGATAAATCATTATCAGCCATCAGAAAGTGCTAGCGGTAACATGTTTAAATATGTCCAAATATAGCAGGAATATATCATGAAATGTTTCATTGAATATCATGTGGAAAAATAGGGGCCTAGTAACTTAGGTCATGGTTGTGTGCAGGGTCAAGTGTGCATACATATATGTGGAACTCTCTCCAAATTGTGACAGGCTAGTCAAGATATGACTAGAGTTGTCGGGATGGTCCGTGTTTAAAACGGTTGTGGGGATACTTTGATATGGCCAAGTACATGTAGGTCCCATCAGCATTCAATTTTGCCATTGGTCGAGTTACACTAATGGTAATATGCAACCTCACAAATGACACATTGATGGATATTTGATTGATTGAGCCGATTTTTTGTAAAATTACCAGTTTCTTAGCAGCATGACCAATACGCCTGTAGGTCATTAGCTTAACATGTGACCAGGCTGGCCATGCATGGTATATACATTGACATCACAGAAGAAAAAAAATCACCAGCAGCAAAGGCAGTGCAACAGGATAAATTACGTGTTCAAGGACAAGCAGATGCCCAAGTCACTTGAAAGGACACTATCAAAGATGTGCTTTTTGCCCAGGATTTATAAGACTTGGCACAAAATGAGTACTTAGTTTGGTTTTGTTCTTCATCATTGCCAATTTGGACTGGGTGCCCCTTTTTTGTCACCTTGCTTTAGGCCTTTTCACACTGCAGAGCTAATCCCCGAGAAGTAAACCCCCAGGAAAATCCCGGGTATTTTTAACCCACGAAAACCCCAGCAACCGTTCACACTGGACCCATTTGGTAACTCCCAGGGACATTATTTCCAGGGAATATGCACGGTTGTTTTACACTGGCAATCAAACCCCGGGAATCGAATAAATGGAGGGGGCCCATCCAGAAGTTCCCAAATGCATTGTAGGCAGAAGTCCAATGCCATGTGCGCATGCGCAAGCTGCTGTTGTTTACGTCGCCCGCAATGCCAAGTTGACGTTGCGAGTTTAAAAGGTACTGCATTACAAGACCAAGTTACCACGCAAATTATTTGGCTCACTATTTGTGACCCTGTGACCTTTCAAGATTACAGCTCGACGCATTAGCCGTGGATGCAAAAAACTGGGGTAAGTTCAAACCCGCTAACATTCAAACTAGTTGATTTTCTCCTGAAAAACATTAAACCCCGAGTTTTTCTCCTTTAACCCCATTCCCTGAGCAGGGGTAAATATTTTTCCCGGGGAAAAGTTTATCCCTAGGAATTTCTTTGGTAGTGTGAACAGACCGACCAAAATTTCCCGGCAATGCCAAGGGAATTCATCTTGTGTGAAAGCCCCTTTTGGCATTCAAATTCACTTTAAGAGATTCATTGCTGATTTTGGGGGGGCTGCCCTCATTGTGCATGAAATTTGTCTATTTGGGCACATGTGTGGCTCTTTCTCCCACTGTGACAACGACCACGACAGAGCCTCAAAGCTTGAGGTCTAATATTGATAGAGTTTGTCTTGTCTTTGACTCATACTTATACTATGCAATAACCACCGCAACCATGCAACTGTCTCATTCCCACCATTGATGCACAGTCTTATAATTCTCGGCCAATTTTCCAAGGTAACCTTGTTATTTCACTCAGTAAATTGAATTCAGGTAAATGTAAATTCAATGTCGTTCGTGGAGCTTATGTATTCAATACCCTGCGAACGTGTCTCAGATGTCCACTGCCTGCAACTTTAACTGGTTTTAAAAGCAGTTACAAAGCTTTGCTTTTTAATGCTTGTGTGTATGGGAGATCAAGAAATTTGCTGTTTTTGATGTTCATCTAATGTACATCAGTGCATGGCTGGATCATGTTTCTTATTATTTTGTGTGTTTAAACGTACTTATTTAACTGGTCCTCACTCTTACATTTTGTAGTTTACTTTTTTTATACAGTGGTATCAATTGTTGTATTTAATGGATTTATTGTAATTGCTGGGCACCTCTGGAAACAGTGTTTCACTAAGAGGTCTCCCCACGCCCAGAGTAGATAAAAATAAATCAAATCAATAATGAAATACTCTGCCATCTGCATGCATGCCAGGGGCGCATGCATTCAAATTGATGAATCCGAATTTCCCAATTAATCATGCTTGCACAGTGTAGCCATCCACAGTGTAGCTATCCACAATGTAGCCATCCACAGAGTAGCCATCCACAGTGTAGCCATCCACAGTGTAGCCATCCACAGGGTAGCCATCCACAATGTAGCCATCCACAGTGTAGCCGTCCACAGTGTAGCCATCCACGGTGTGGCCATCGCGTCACATCGGTAGGTGTCACATCGGTAGGCGTAGCATCGGTAGGTGTCACATCGCATCCACAGTGTAGCCATCCGCAGTGTAGCCATCCACAGTGTAGCCATCCACAGGGTAGCCATCCACAGTGTAGCCATCCACAGTGTAGCTATCCACAGTGTAGCCATCCACAGTGTAGCCATCCACAGGGTAGCCATCCACAGTGTAGCCATCCACAGTGTAGCCATCCACAGTGTTGCCGTAACTAATAATAGTACTGAATTAGGCCCATTTGTTTTTTTCCAGTCAATTTCATCATAATGCGAATCAAATGACAATATGATTAGCAAATTTGCTAATCAATTTTATTTTCTTATTTCCATCACTGACTATAGTCACTGCATTTCTCGTTCACAGCGCACCTTACTGGACCATCACCCAGCCTGGTATCTGCTATCTTGGCACCGAGAGAGACGATTGTACTTTTAACCTTGCATTTTGCAAGGATCTACCCAAAGACAAAACACGAGGGCTCACTGGCATTGGGGCATCCCAAGAACTAACTGGCATTGTGCGATCCAAACCAACAATACTTGGACAAACAAGTCGGATTGTTAATGATGGTATTTCATACATTTTCTGTATTATTTTAACTTCTGATTATATAAAGTTCTGAACAATGTTATTTATTTGCTAGAGAACATGCATGTATTGACTACATTCCCCCAAATATTAAACACTCATCACTATTTTGATTCTGAGTTTCTAGCTAAACCTTCCTCAATCTTCCAAAGTCCTTCAAAACTCCTTGGGCACGGGGAAGGGGTGAAAATTGTTTTGATTCCCAAAGGAATGAAGTGTTCAGGACTTACGATGATACTGTGTTACTTTTGTACATAAAGTTTCTGAAAAGTTGTGAATCAGTTTTCCTTTTTGTCATGTTAAATGAAAAATTTCAACCAGAAATTTCAACCAAAGAAGTTTTGGCTCCATAGTGGATTCTGAAATTCTCACTCCAAGACAGTTGTGGGAATCATATTGTGGGAATCAAGAAGCCTGAGAAATTTAGGCAATTCATGATCAGCTGTCTTTTTAGTCTAGTCTGGTGTGAGATTCACTAAGTGTCATTCAAACTGTCTCCTAAGTATCAAACCTCCCCCCCCTGCCATAGAAAAGAAAAAGAAGTAGAGGGGGCTATGGTGAATACACTCTCAGACCTGCTGATCTGCACCAAATTGGGAGGGCATTGCAAGAATCGATGTTGCAGGCACAGTTTGGAAGCATGTGGCGTGTAAGAAAGTAGCTGTGCTTGAAATGACCCTCAGAATTTGACCTTGCAACAAGACTGGGTTTCGAACCGATATGCTGGACATGACAGTTAGGGAGATCAGCAGGCCAACAAGTGCAGTGATTGTAATTTAAGAAAGGATCACAGTAGACAGATTAACTGAGGCTAACCCCAGACGTTGAGTAGGCACTGATGGTGGTGGTCAGAGTTTGGTTCAACAGTCATCTATGAAAGGTCATCATATGGGCGATTCACAATAGTGTGCCTCCAAGAGTTTGCAACGCGTTGGCCACTTACTTACATAGGGCTTTTCACTGATCATTTGAATCACATTCGTATCAGCGGCTCCAAAAACAAAAACATGTAAAATTATTAGGTCAACACTAAGGGTGGGAATTTACGTCGAATTTGAAAAACATTTACAAAAACTTTGCCATACATTTTAATGTTTAGCTAACACTTCACAGAGGCTGCCACTGCCTAACTCTGTGTTTTCAGATATATACATAATTATATAGTTAAACATTGCACATGGTCTAACCTATATAAAAGTGTAGATTGATGTTGGGGCATTTAAAACAAGCAATGTTTATTATTTTATAATCCTCTTTTTTTCTCAAAAAGTACATGGATGCCAAAAGGGAAAAAACAGTATGTAGCAGGCATTGTTTACAATAAAAATGAACACAACATTGCTTCAATTCAAAATGTCAAACCTCTGAAAGGGGCAGTTCCGTTTATACGTTTGGGAAAATCTGTAAACAGCTTTGGACCTTTCTTCTTTTAAACATGTCAACGTCCCACCCTTCCTTACGAGCATTTCATATATCATCGTGATTAGCTGTTGATTATCAGTGCCGTCTAAATATCCCTCTCTATGAAAGGTATCTGTTGCTAGGCTTGACAAACGGCTTGATATGTTTCTTGACAGGGGATGGATCCCAGTTGTTCGTGACATATGCAGATGGTGACCTGTTGGACTGTGGTCATATCAGCGTCGTCATGCGGCTCATGTGCAATAAGTATGCCGTGTGGGAGGTACCGGATACTGGGGCACCAGGCATCATACCGTTCACTCCATTGGTTGTCTTTGTGAAGGACAATGAAAATGAAACCTGTCTGGTAAGTTGAAACTGCAAAGTGATTGCCCTGAGAAGTTTGTGTCCAGCTCCTTGTTCAGGTAGAAAGAAAAGTCAATCCGTTAAGATGTCATTAGAGTAAAATCAATTTGGACTTAGATACCTGAGATGTGACAAAACATTTCTGCACTTTGTGGGCACTTACATGTTTTACCTCACGTCTGGTCATTTTCATTTTACTGACATACCATCACTCTGTCATGTATCAACACTACCACTGTTTCATGTCTTGATTGATTTTTTATTTCCTTCTCTTTCCATCTCATAGTATGAAATTAATGCTGATTATGCTGGTGCCTGCGGAGTGATAAATCAAAATCTGAGCCTTGGGACTGTGTTAATTATCATGTAAGAATTCTGTTTTTTTTTCATTCATGTAACTTGTCATCAAATTTCAGTGCCTCTTTCCACTCTTAAAAAAGTGAAATTGCGAGTGTTATAGAATAGTTAGAGATTCTAGACAACAGCATTTGTAGTATACAAAGTAAAGACTATGTAATTGTATTGACATCTTTTTATGAGAGCAGCCTGCAATAATCTCAATTTTGTTCTAAATTTTTTTTTGGATGATAGCTTTTTCTGTGTTGTGACTGTCTACCTCATCGGTGGGGTTATTTATAACAAGATTGCCGGGGCAACGGGAAAAGAACTGATTCCCAACTATGAAACATGGAATCGATTGCCAAGTGACATCATGGTGAGTCTAAGATCTAGATGTACAAAAATGTACTATGACTGCATTCAAATTACCCACTGACAGCTAGCCATGGCACTCTGTAGGACATGGCTTCAAATGGTAACTGGTGGCCTTCCATGGGCACATGTATCATATTCAGCTATAGCTAAGTAATTGGGGACATGTCCTATGATTCCACTTGTTCTCCCCAAATCCAGTAGTCTGTTGGCTCGACTTTTACGGAGAATATATCAGAAAAGTGATAAGGTACCAGACGTGTGGTTGCTTGGAATGCAAATGAGAGCCACACATGACAGGCAATGCATCATGGGTATGTGGCATATCTGTATTACTAGTGGAATTCATGTACAACATACATTGGGGTTGTTTATATATACAAATATTTCTGGACAGGCAGTTTAGTTGACAAGTGCAGTATTAGTCCAACTCCTAGAACCAGAGTTCCTAGAACGGAACTGGGAAAATGAAGGGGAAAAAAATTAAAAGACTTGGGACTTCAGAATTGGCCCATTATAGCAGTATTTAATTACAAGAGTGCACTTGATATTAAATGCTGCCTTTCATTTCCTTTTTCAGGTGGGGTGTGGCTTCTTTTTCAGTTACATCACATGTCAGGGCAGAGGAGGGGTATCCCACGATGCCTACGACAAAATCTAGCTAGTCTCAGATCGCCTGTCAAATCAAGAGGCTGCTCCTTCCTCATAGCATCTCAAAACTTGGAAGATTCTTGTTCCTTTCAAAACATTCTTGTTCCTTTTGAGGCAAGACTGTTATTTCGGAATGTTTTCTGTTCTCTCTAGGCCTCATTTTCTGATACAAACATGTGACCGTAGGTCACCTGTCAGCACAGGCTAGATTCTTGATGTCTTCCATCCTTAGGATGGCCAGTTAGCAAATTCAGCATGATTCCACTGGGATCATCTGTACACATTGCCATGTAGGAACACAGAATGTAGATAACGGAATTTGTTCCAAATTACAGCTGGCAATTTTCCTTGGGGAAACTTTTCTAGCGTACTAAGATTTTCTCTTACAGTTGTTTTTTTTCAAATTTCCAAATTGAAGTTGTCTTTTTTATATCTTTTTTGTATTTGTATTTTTGACGGCAAGACAGGGTAAATAACAGTTATAACCATATCTCGTACATATTCATGACCAAGAGCCAAAGACATGTCGGTCCACATACCATGACGTGGTATTTTTCTTTCAAGAATACAGAAGAAGTTTGAGTAGGAAAGTGTCAGAGCAATGAGCCAGCGTCTCTGGGCAAATCATGGCATTTACTGCATGTGCACTTGATGAGTAAATCTTTAAAATTGTGCTCGGTGGTTGTATGCACATGCAATCATTGCTTGCGCTAAAATGCACGTGCAGTGATGAAAGCCAGTGTAAATATTCATGAGTAATTTCCTAAACCAACAATTCTGTATGTAGAATGTATTGTGAAACAAAGACAATATATTATTTACTTTGGGTTAAAAGCCAGTATTCGATCCCCCCGTATTAAAAGCTATCAAACTAGTCCCAATACTTGGGTAGGTTCAGCCATCCATCCCCAAACTTTGTAAGGTTTGTGAGGAAACATGTCTGGAAACCAGGCATCGATCTAGACGGCTTCAATATAAGGGACTTCTTCTAAGAGATATTTGACATTGAAAAAAAGACCAGTTTGTTTCATTCTTTCATTGTGTGAAATTTTGTGCCATCAGAAAATGATTTTCATGTTGAGGAAAAGCGAGTGGAGTCACTGCCTTAGAAACCTTCTGTGTAGATTTAGACAGGGCAGTGCTTCTGTTTGAAAAGGATAGCATCTGGAAGGGATACCAGTTAAAAAGATATTACTGTGCAGCAGGTGTTAAAGAAAAGGAATGATAAACGTGGACTTAACAGGTGCTGAAAATTTAATTGGTTTTCTTGACGAAAGACTGCCATATTATGAAACATCAGCAAGATATTTTCATTGGCTTAAAAGGTTTACGTATATGATAGAGTAGGAAAGCATGGTGGAATTTTTGCAAATATGTCTTATTGACATTTTCAACAGTGGAACAGGCACTGCAGTCAGTTGGCATAAAGTTAAAGGTTTGAGAAATTCGAGCAGAAAGATATTTGGCTTTTTTGGCGCCATGGTTCAACAATAGAATTGGGTGGAATGTGTCCTGATGCCGCATAATTGTTAAAGCTGCCAAATTACCTGAAGTGCCTTTCTTGTATCTTGTCACACCATTATTAACCTGTTCAAAACCCCAGTAATGAACGACTATAAATTCATGGTGCAAGTCCGCTCAGCTGTTTTGATTTTTGTCTCCATAAAAATGAATATTTAACCTGTAGGAGTCATATGCTGGTATTTTGTGGTTTACCAACTGAAGTTTTAAAAGTAAAGTTAATTTCCTTACTGCTGAAAAGGTTGTGCTTTTGTTTATTAGTATTTTTGTTTGCATGAATTCCGTCACAGATACAGTACATGTGCTTTGGTAGATTGAATTACGGATAGAATGGTTTTGAAAATAGTTGTTGGATGAATAGATTTGTATCTTATATTCAATTGTACTCACCATGCTTTGAATTTGGTGAGAAGCTGGTAATTGCTTTGCAGTAACTATTGTCTTGAGAATAGGGCATAAAATATTTCCAAAACATGGCACTAAGTTTGTTAAAAACAATTGAATGTAAAATGTATTTAATTGGTGATTGCCAAGTTGATTCTTGATTTTGCATTTTTTATTTATGGGACTAAATATTTGATTCCTGATCAGCTGATTTTGTAATTTTGTACCTTAACTAATACCTTGAAGAGTTTTGTGGTTTCTATCAAATATTAATAATTCTCTGATAACATTCGGTTCTTTCGAAATGTGAATTATCACAATCTGTGCATTAAATTGTAAGGGACAAGTTTCTTGTTGGACAAAGCTTAATTTGGAATGGAATTCACTTTGGAATCGTTAATAGAATACTGAAAAAATGTGCACAGTCTTTGTGTTCAAGTGTTAAAAAGATGCAAATCATAAAATTATCCTTAAACATTGCAGCCCATGTATCAGGGTTGCCATTTTTATGTAACGATTTTGTTAGAGTTTCTTTCATTACAGGAAACCTTGAGGATGAAGTACTGATGTGTATCAGCAGACAGCACTGAGATTTGGAGGGCTGTTCTTAATCCAGCAGGGTTGCTATGACATATTAATTTTTGTTTCTTATGATAATATGACTTTTTGGTGTAACTCACTGCTAAAGAAATGAATTTTTGCATGTTTTCCTTTAGTCTAACAATTCTTCTAGTATTTGGTTTGTGTACACGGTACTAAGTAAGATGCGACATTTAGCTACTCACAAAATTATGCAATTCTGTATTTTACAAATTTTGCTTTTTCACAAAAAGCACTGGATACAAGCTTTTCGGTTATAGTTGTATTATTTTTATGACTTTTTATTTTTCTACTTTTTTTGTATTTAGATGCAAATTAAATGCAAGGTTTTCTTGTATGCAGGATTTGTACCCCACATTATGCTTTCATGTGTTTGCTTGCATTATTTGTTGTCGATCTAGCCTTTAAATTACGTTTCGTTTCACGTAACATAGACAAACTGGCATCGTATTTTAAATCTGACCTTGGATGAAATACTTAAGCAAACTGCTCGAACATATTATTTCATACGCCTCCACGATAAATGACTTTTATACTCTGTACATGTATTTCCTTTTAAACATAAGGTATCTGCTGTGCGAGCTTAAGGTTTTGAGTTAGGTACTTTCTCTGTCGAAGAGAAGGCTCTTCTGCTCTTGACACTCTTTTAGACGAAGGAGTTAATGATCTTTCGACGCGCGGTGGCGCTCCAATATGCAAATTAAAAAGTTGAAGAGTATTCCAAGTTCAGAGTTGGGGGAAACGTTATGCAGCGTGGGAAACATTCAGTGTGAACAACAAACATGACATTATGTGGTGAAGTTGTCAATGGTTGTAATATTCAATTTAGTAATAAACTAATTTCAGTAGTAACATACTGCAAGATTAAGAAGAATGGTATGGGTCTATTGAGAATTGGGAAAATTATTAAAGTTTAGAGCAATCTACGGCATAATCGACGTTACCGCGTTATTTCAAAAGGATCGATCGAACAACATTTCACTTCACTTGATTGATTGGTTGTGGCGAGGTGTAAATTTTTCGTTGTTCGCGTCGATCGAGGTCAAAGTTAAGTTGTTTTTTGGTCACACAAAATCTCTGATAATTACTACGGAATACTAAAAGATGAACCAAATAGTCCTTCCATAAGAGACAAAGGTAAGATTGGTCTCATGGTTTCGGCATAAGTCGTTTTGATGTCAACGAAAAAGCCTTCAAAAAAGTTGGCGTTCGTGTTCTGAATTGTGTCGTTTAAAGTACACGTAAGCCAAGTGGGCCGGCGCAGTCAACATTTTCAGCTGCAGTAAAAAGACAGCGGATGGTTAATTTCGAATGATATCATTTACTTGAAAGGGCATTTTGAAATCGAGTGATCGTAGGTGATATTTTGGACGTCATGCAGGTTTCATTTTCCAAACAGAAACAGTAAGGGGTTGGCCAATTTCATGAACTGGCAATTTGAACTTCATTTATCGACAGGGGCCTGTAGGCCTAAATTTAACAAAGTAACTTGAGGGGTCGAAAGACACAGTATACTCAAATCGACTTGGCTACTGTTAACTTAAATACCTGAATGAGCCATCCAAACCTGCTCATTATTATAACGTACAAGCCTTCCCCTTCCGGTCCCGGCAACAATTTGCTTTGTACCCATGGCTGTTCTCCGAACATGAGGCCTACTTGTTTAAAGTATGTTAGCAAGTGTGTCTTTTTGTTATCTAGAAAATGATGATGCTTTGATTCAACCTAATTTGAAGATGGCAGCCAGCAATTCCCCTGGTTGCTATGTGGATCGTAAACTACAAAACCAGCTGAGTTTGCTCCAGTCCCCAGGTAACTATGATTAATGGTTGAGCCTTTTTGTTGTTTGATTCCAAGTTCATTCTTTCTTTGCTTTTCTTCATGCACAGAATCTCCGACAAAAATGCCCCCGAGATTACTGTAACTTGGACCTCGATTCCAGGACCTTACTATGCAGTGAAACTTCCTGTCTGTATAAACAGCTCCTAAGCCGTAGGCCCATACTATAGACCATCCCCTTTTATTTTAGTCATAATCTGCAGATTTTCTTGACATAGCATCCATGCCTCATCGAAAGTTTGAATGCGAAAAGTAAACTGTAAATTTCTTTGACCGCTGCCATTTTGTAGAATTTGACGTTACCATCAATGATGTTGGAGAAATCATCAACATTCTCAATGTTATCAAGGTATGAATTATAATCTTGGTAGTGCATTTCAGACCTGGATCTTTGATTTTTCCTCAAGGATAATAATTATTCAGGTTTGGTTAGCCCTGTCCCTTAACATAGCCTGAGGTTTGTAAGTTGGTCACTTTTAGCACACACCTTCCACTGAATTTCTGTAGTGTGACATTTGCTGAAAATGACAACTAAATTTTAAGTTAGTGTGTGAAGGTTGGGGGCTGTCTTTTAGGGTGGGGTGTTCAGCAACCCCCTCCCCCTAGTGCAATGTGCCACTAATTGCCCAGCTACATCTGTTGTCACCCCTTTTCATATTGCTTCTTATTGAGTGATACACATCTCAATAGTTTGCCTTGATGGTACAACTGCAAGCTTAATAGATGGGATACAAACATGCATTGAAGGAATACTGTCATGTGATATGTGCAAGTTACACCATATGAGTTGTCTCTTGTGAACCTATCTATTTCTACATGGTTGGAAGTAGTCTGTCTCTGTCTTTAGGCAGCTTACTATATGATAGTTAATTGCTGTCATTCCAGGCTAAGTGTGCACCAACACCTGAGAAGTTTCGTCTCCTGGTTGGTCTGTTGTGTGAGGTTGACCTGTCAATAACCAATATTGAGGAACATTACGAACAGGTAAAGGCCAATTATAGCATGATGATTCTGTAGAGAGAGTAACTCTGTGATTTCCCCTCATGGGCGATCTAGAGGTATAACCATCTTCAATACATAGCTGCCACGGTCCTAGTGCCCACACTTAAACTATAGTTGCACATTTCCAGATAAAAATCACTCTTGGCTCCTGTGTGTGATATTGAGCACAAGCTATATACATTGTAGTGCAACCCAGCATGGTGTACTGACTTCAATGGTTGTCACTCACTGTAAGGCAACAAGGTACCCTCTCTCCTTTGTGCCTGGATCCATCAAGAAGAGATGACAAACCTCTTTCTCTTCGACTGCATTGAACGTCTTCAAACGAAGACCTATGAAGCATGTACAAGCTCAAAGTAGAAAGTATGATTTGGTCTGCTCATTTTCTGATACAAGTCTTGACAACTTGTACTTGTTGCACTGAGAATGCATACCAGAGGGTCATGAGCAAGTTCTGTGTGATATGTTGGGAGTTAATGATAACTTAAAACTGGCAGGGGATTTTGGGGGTTTGGAAATATTACTTTTCATTGTGAAAGAAAAAATAAACAACTGCAACAAAACAATTTTCAAATGGGGGGGAGGCAGTTATGAGTATAGACCCTATTCACGTGGAGGCCTTTTTTTTTATCTTATTCCCCAAATCTGTTTTATATATTGCAAACTGTCAATTAGGATGGCACCAGACTGTTTTATAGTTCCAAGCGTTCCAAGCCTCCCTTTCAATAATTTTCAGAATCTGGCAATCTAGAATTTTATGTGTTCAATCATGAATTTAAAATAATACATCAGAGTAGACAGGTGCAAAGTCGTCGTGAAATTTCATTTTATTGCTTCCTTTGTATTCTCAACATTCAAAATGAAGAGTAAACCTCGCTTTCAAATTCAACATGGCCGGCCCCGTGAATGAGGTCTATTACTAGGCATCAGCCACGGATGGACTGATCCATTAAGCTATATCGTATCACTGGACTTGCTATGACACAGTAACTTGTGTTCACCCATAGATTATGTTGTTAAGTAAACTTTTCTTGTTTCAGAGTTTTATAGAAGTTATAATCAGACAGGGGTTTTCTACTGGATAAAGACATTTGAGGTTTTGTTTTCATTTATAGCTCATGATAAAGAATCGTATCTTCCATCTCCTGAGGATGTTTCCAGATGTTGCTCATCCATTGCTAGACATTATCGCCAGGGCAACCAATCGATGCTGTCCTCTTGCCTCCTTGCCTGTCACCATCGGTAGAATAGAACAAGAGAGGTAGATTCTAAATTTCTTTCTGATAAATACAGGGGTAACTCCCAGGTCAAACCTTTTTGCTTCTTAATGTCTTTTTCTTTCGTTTGAAGATGTATCCATGTTTTCTTAAACCTTAAAAACAAAAAACTTGTTTTGATGCCTTTCAAAAATTGAAATTACCAACTCAACTTTTTAACAACCAGGTGTGTACTAGATTTTTGTTTGTGAATTGGTTGATTACCTGCTTCTTCATTTCGTCACCTTCAGAGTAGTCACCCTGAGTTAATTGCTTAGTTCAATTGTCATTCGCATTTTTCTGTGGAGCTGTAATGCATTTTAGGGTTACCTGACTGCCATCAATCTTTGTTTTGATTGAAAAAGTTGGAGGGCAGATTCCAGGTTTTTCGTTTCTTAAAAGACATTTTTCATTAGAAGATGAAAACATCTTCATATATTTGGAGGAGTTTTATAGTCATAGTTTTATTATCACAACCAATGGATACAAAAGCTGATAAAAGATATTACAACGGCGGAATAAAAATTGCTATTATTCTAGATTGTTGTGATATCTACAAGCAAAATGTTTCCTCCAAACATTTTTATGGTTTTTCCACACAGGGCCTTTTTCTACCTACTAGGAAACAATCAGATAACATTTTCAGTCTTGTCCTTTTTATTTCAGACAAGCCTGTAGCAGCGAGGGTCTCCATTCATACAACCACGCCATGATGCCTAGACAGACACCATTACTGCAGCACAGCACATGCCTCAGGATGTCAGCTCCGAACAATCAGATGGCAGCAGCAGCAGTAGTGCCTGGTAATCAGCAAGCTGGTATCCTATCACCTCAGAGATTGTCAGGTGTCACCCAGCCCACATCCTACCCACCATCTGTCCAGGGGATGACCACGACCTTACCTGCTGGTCAGCCAGTGGTCGGTGGCCGCAGTCAACTGGTGGAATTTGATCTAAGCCGCAAGTTGTATGATCAAGTAAGCACCACTTCAAGTTGAAAATTGTAGTAAGTGTTATTTCAACCGGACCAGGCAGAGCACTTTTTCCTCTGCAAGTCCATCACAAGCCATTCTATTTCAAGTCAAGTCACAAGCTATTCAAATAAATTATAATTGAAAAGCAATCCTGTTTCATTGATTACTCTGTTACTTGGCTGGTCTTTTAACAAGGACTTGTGATGGACTTGACTGTTTTGGTTTCAATTTTTTTTTTTACAAGAGCAACCTCTTGTTCAATTCATTTCATATAATTGGAATGTTTGTTATTTCTATCCATTCTAATCTTCTGGCCAGATTCCACCATCCCTCCTACAGTCTCCATTGCAAGCAGGCGTCAATTCTTCAGGGGCTAGGGAGTCACCAAGTGACATCCAGAAACGAATTCTCCTGCAGCAACAGCAGCACCTACGCCAGCAGCTAGAAATGCTGCAGGTGCAACGACTTCAACAAGCCTGTGTCCGGAATCTGAGTTTTGGGCAGAAGCAGATGAGTCAGGTTGCCACAACCACTGTCTCAAGCACCCCCTTGAACAGAATGGAATCATCCATGTCAGCAAACTCAGCTGTGATTGGTCCTAGTCGTTCAGTTGTTCAGCCAAAGATAATGACTAGAAGTGCCCGCCAGCTTTCCCAGCAGCAACCAATCCCGGTTACCATTAGAAACAGGCACAGTGGATCCGACATTAAGGCTTTAGACCCCAGGTCACCAGAAAAGCAAATGGCTTCCAACAAGGCTGTCGGAAAAACTGTCATCTTTTCATCAGATGGACACTGTGTGTCGGAAGCTTCCAAGAATACACTTCTCCAGCTGGACAGTGTTGTGGAAGGGGCAGCTGGTACCGGTGGGAGAGAAAGTGGTGACGAAGATAAGAAAGACCGTGGGTTGTGCCTAAGTCAAGTTGGTCATCATTGCATTATGGTGTCTGTGCGAGACGGTCGATTTGCTAGAACCCAGGACAGCATGACGCTTGAGACGGATCAAAAAGAGAAGCAAACAGACACTCAAACAGATTCCGCTAAAAGTAAGACTAAGCAAAGGCAGAAAAAGGGGAAGGCGGGGCATGGGTGCAAAGGGGCGGTCATTGATGTGAAGAATCTGTGTCACATGCATGACATCTGGCCAAGTGACAAACACAAGAAGAGCCACTTCGTGAGTAACTCAGGCAAGCAAAGTCTGACAGTTCATGAACTTAATGTTCAGCACCAAAATCAACCAGAAGTGCAGGGACCAAACAAAACCAACAATAACAGTAACAACAAACACGAAGGTATCCCAAAAGATATGAGCTTGTCTCAGACCAATGGTCAAAGTTCCTCCAGGAAACGAAAATCTCATCAGCAAGCCAAGTCTCGGAAAAAGAGACGGCGAAGAAGCTTCAACAGTGGTGGCACAACGTATGGAATGGCAGCCAATGAAGAGTCAGCACCCATAGACCTGTACCACACTCCACCATCCTCAGGTGGCTTGGGAAACGTGACTGCCCCAAATGCAGTGTTTGAACCGACAACTGGCACGTGGCGACGGAAACCAGACGGCGCAAAAGCCAACAAGATAAGCCCACCTCAACGCCAAGTGATTCAGCTCAGTCAGAACCCACAAGTCAAGTTCCCAGCTGACCTGGAATCTACCTATCTCTTGTGCAGCAGCTGTGACGATGAGATGTGGTACCAGTCGTCACAATCTGACGAGACAGATACATGTCTTCTGTCCAATGCGAGTCCAGTGTTGGCTCCCTGCCCATCAAACATTGGGATGAAATCACAAGCAGGCACTTTCTTAGAAAGACTGATGCAGCATGATCTTCCAACATCACATGCTGAAGTTGCCCAAAACAGCACAGCAGATGCTGCAGCCACTACTGCGAGCACAGCCCCTCGCTACGCAGGAGAGACAAATTTATCCAGAACAAGGAAGGACAAGAAGAAGAAGCATTGATGATTATTGACTGTAAGGTGGCAATTGGTGCTTGTGACATGACTGGCAGATTGAATGTATTTTTGTAGGTTACGTATAAATTCTTTGACATTCATTGAGCCAGGATGGCGTGCGACTAGAAGACGGATCTTTGCCACGGTATGCTGAAGTTAGATTTAAAGTTCGAAAATATTCTGCAGTGTTAAAAATATTTGTTAATGAATTTATAGATTTAAGTCTAGCAAAGGTATTTGACTGGCGCTTATTTTATTTTGAATTTCAAACGGTGAAAAAGGCACTATGTTTCTTTTAAAAATGCAGTTTTGTTTTCATCTAATTTGAATTTATGGAAATACTTGAATGCATATTGTTCGATTCCACTAAGTAGTATCAAATTTAAAAGAATGGATTTTACATTTGTTATTATCTTTTAGAATTCTCAGTGAAAACTTATTTGAACAGTCTGTCTACACATCATACAAGTTCACAAAGTATTTTGCTTCAGTGACTTGAAAATTCCATTTTCTTTATTGAAAAGAATTTAAGCAATTGTGACAAGTTCTGGATTTAGTGACGCCAATAATATGAGTAGTAAACAATGTAAATTGGAATTCCTCCCAATACGCAACTTTTTACACACTGGACCTTCATTTCTTTTTGAAGGAAAAGTGGAATTATTCTAAAACTTTACCTTGAAAACGTATCGTTTGAATGTACCTCAATGAATTTAATTGAAAGATCCATACTGTTTTCCTAAAGACAATTTCTGATGGGCTTCAACTTGGCATATTTGTCTAAACATTAATTAGAAGGTTCTTAAAAATGTGGATATTTGCGTAACGTCCTGTCTTAATTTCTCTCGAGGACACGAAATATCATGCCTAAAATCATCCCCCCCAAAACGGTGGGAAGTTCGAATCTTGGTCGCTGAACGACCAAGATTCAAGTTAATTCAATCAGGTTTTTTTTTTCTGTTGCATTAAGTTTTACGAGGGGGTCGGGTTTGTGTGGGATTGAAGCAGACCACGTGACGGCAAAGAGCCAATAGAGAGGAAGAAAGGTGTGGCGCGAAAGGAGTAGGACGAATGAAAGGGGACCCAACGGTTTGTCCTTACTGGGAATTAGAGGCAAATACAAGCCGTTTTGCTTATTGTGGTCCCCTTAAACAGACGTAAACCGAATGGTACTTTGGCTGAAAAAGAGACCAATTCTTTTGTTGGATTCTTTTCTTCAGCTTCCCCTGAACAATAAAATGATTCGAGGCTTACCGAGGATTAGACGCCGCTATCTTTCGTTACGCTTGAGTGAACAACAATAGGGAGAACTGAAGCAGAAAATCTCGAAAAACTCGCCTTTGAGAGCATGTTAGTTAACAAAATGATGGTTTTTGCAGAGGAAATTGCATAACAAATCTACCTATAGTTTCAAAATTCCAAGATTCGCCCGAATAAAAAAGTTGGCTTTTCAGGACAGGCTGGTTCCACGCCAAAACTTTCTCCCTCTCGCCGTTGGTGGCGCTATAATATTGAAATTCCACTGTGCAGCGCAGCGGAGTGGACCTGTCACTTGTGTGCCACCGCCTTTTTTTATATAATATTTTTTCCGTTTTGTTCCCCATTTCCATTGGAATTTCCCCTTCAAACTAAACCAAACATACATTGGTCAACATTCTCTGTGACTTTTTATATTAGCAGGAACTTGACAATTTGCTTTTGTTTATAATTTCTGAGGTTATCAAAAGCGGCCAAGATCACTATCCTTCTCCTATAAGTAGTCTTTTCTCCTTCCAGGAAATCCTAAATACCCTTTTATTTTTTGCCTATTTGCATCAAAACTTCCTTTTAAATTTGATCAGACTATCTGAGCCCGCGCTGGAGTCTCTCTATTTGTTCATTTTTCTCTCGAGCAAAACCATTATTTTACAACTTTCATAAGAGCGCTCACTACCGCAAGTTTCCTAGCAATCCTGGTTCCCGCCTGCGTAAGCCGAAACTAACATAAAAACGGGTAACCAGCGTTTTGGACCGTAAAGAAAATCCGATTTGGACCGCCGATATGGCTATTTCTGTACACGGTCGATTGTGCACACGTATATGTAGCATAGCGAGCTACAAAATTGGCCATTTCGGCGTTCCCACGGAACATGCGCAATGTGCATAGCCATACGGCGTACGCTATGCTAGAGAAAGGCCCATATCGGAGGTCCGCACGCACTGTGTAAATCAACCGCACCGTCGACTTTCCATGTTATGGCGCCACCAACGGTAGGTGTGAGAAAGTTTTAGCTTAGAACCGGCCAGTCCTGAAAAGCCAACTTCTTAATTCGGGCGAATTTTGGCATTTTAAAACTATAGATAGGTTTGTTTTGCAATTTCCTCTGCAAAAAATGTCATTTTGTTTCCTAAAATGCTTATAAAGGCGAGTTTTTCGAGATTTTCTGCTTCAATTCTCCCCATTGTTGTTCACTCAAGCGTAACGAAAGATAGCGGCGTGTAATCCTCCGTAAGCCTCGAATCATTTTATTGTTCAGGGGAGGCTAAAGAAAAGAATCCAACAAAAGAATTAGTCTCTTTCTCAGCCAAAGTACCATTCAGTTTACGTGTGTGCAATCAAGGCCCAGGAATTAAACGCCTTGTTTTCGCCTCTACCACGGACTCCTATTCCTCGTGCAGCCTACGGAAGGTTCTCTACCAACCCCCAATTTCTTCTTGCGCCACACCCCTTCCTCTCTTTCTATTGGTTCCCTGGCAACACGTGGTCTACTAGGGTCATCGCCCTCCTTATTCCTGTCATTTATCGGTGGATACTCAGCTGATTCGCACGTGAATTTTCTCATCTGTAAGTTTAATGTACAGTGCATGCACCTGACGTTAAACCTCACACTCTCGACACCAAGCCCTGCTGAATACTTCAGCAATGCATCAAAATCCAGGTAAGGAAATGCTTCTTTTGTGTTTGTTATCGATCAGAAATTTCCCTTCTACTTCTATGAACTATTGCAACCTTCACCGTAATGTGATTGTTCCAATTTTGCTATTTATTTCCATTTTTTTCTGCTGCATATTTGGATCTTTTCCTACCTCCATGATTTACAGATTGTGTTAAGTGCCCTTTGCCAGCATCCCCCTCGAAAGACATTTCTAGATATGAAGTTCAAAAGTAGTTGAGACTTCTGACAAAACTCTAATTCCCTTTACCAAAATATGTCAATGATCAACACTAACAATATGCTAGACAACGAAAATCCATTAAGTCAGTTTTCCGATTTTTTATTTCACACATGTTCTCCACTGTCAAGTTTAGACACAAGCCTAGTGATATTTCAGTATATTATTTTTTTCCTTGACATGCATTTGATTAAAAAAAACTTGCTTCACAAAAATGTTATTTCCACACTGCAAGAAGCGTTCAAGGTAGTATGTGGAAACTTCATGGGATATGTTCCCCATGTCGGTAATCAGAAAAGAGTTCGTTCAAAGTTTTCCTTCCCTGAACGTGTGCATGATCTCTAAGCCACTCCTGTCTTTAACTAGACACCAACTACAGAAGTCCAATATTTGAAATTTTACACACTTTGTCCTTCCAGAACTGTAACTGTAAGATAGCTTAGCTTAGCTTACAACTCTCGGAAAGAGTTCCATATATGGACGCCACTTGACAACCTGTCCACAAACCCATGAGACTCGTCTGAAAAATTTTAAGTGCTTTCTCAGGAAATGACTTGGTATTTTCCCTCCTAAAGTGAACTTTTCTGAACATGTTTTTACTGGCATCGGTAGATGGAACTCTTCCCCAACTCCCTATACCAAAGTCCTGGCTGTTCAATTATGCCAGCTTACTCTGCAGTTGCAATAAGATTTCGTGCATCGTTTCTTGGTTACGTCACATGTCTGCGGGGTAGGTTTATCCACTTTATATCTCATTAAAATGGTGAAATCCATGAGTATTTGGCCTGTCCACTCTAGGGAAGATCAGCAGCATGTGTAATCTCTCACTGTCATCAACAGCATGACAGCTTGACCAATCACAGTATGGATCATATCTTTTTCTTGTTTTCCTGTCAGCTGCAAATGAAAACCGTGCCATGATTGGCCTTATTCTATTTATACCAATGACCACTCACAACATTATAGTTCTGGGAGTACTTAGTACGAGTCCCAAAAGATAAAGCAAATATTGACACAATACAAAAAATAGACTGGTGCATGATACAACCAGCCCCATACTTGTTGAGCCTGAAGTCAATAATGTCAAAAAAATATCTGGAACCTGACATCTATTTCTACACATTTCTCCATATTATCCAAAGCAATGACAATCTCATAGCTTCACTCTTAAATGTAAAAAAAATCTTTTAAAATCTAATTCAGCTTTCAGCTCTCAAACATGGCTGGAGTTGCCTTATCTTTGACCCATGGAAATTTAAACTTAGTCAGCAGA